AGAATGGGAGGCGAATGTTTATGCTGTGCAACCTGCCTGTTGGGGATGGACGTCGAAGTGATTGTTTCAATTAGGCCGATCAATAGTAACTAGTTAGATATCCATGTTTGTATGTTTGTATGGAGAGTATTAGAGGAGAGTAGGTTCAATCAAGTAAGTGAGTGATAGTGGCGATTGGCAAGAAAGTGGTAGTAGTAGATCTTTTTGTTGGTCCCCCCAGCTAGCTGAATGAGTAGTGGGGGGCCGAAAAACTTGTTTCTTTTGTTTTGTTTTTTGGTTGGTTTGTTTCTGCTATTTTTGGGGATTGGGGTTCGGATGTTCGGTGGAGAGATAGAGAGATAGAGACAGCAAGAAGAGAATAGAAAACCTCGGGATAGATAGAGAGAGACAGGAAGTATTCAAGGAAAAAAAGGAAAATAGGAAAATATGATAGTTAAGGAAAGAAAAGAAAATAAGACACCCCCCAGAATAGGAATAGGAGATACAGCATCTAGGTAATAGTCGCAATCCAAACACCAAAAAAAGAAAAAGTAAAAGTAAAAAAGAAGAACGCCAAAATAGGTGGAAAAAGAAAAGAAAATATTACACTACATGTACTAGACACTATCTAACAATTCAATCCAATCACTACCACAGTAAGCCGCCACACACCTCCTCCATTATCAACCTACGCTGCAGGTGCAGCTTCTTGTTTCTTCCCCCTTCCAAAGAACGTCGCAATCTTCCTCCCGAAGCTGCCCAGCGACGCCTTCTTCAGTACCACCTCACTATCGCTCTTGCTCCTCTGCACCGGCTTGATAAAGTGTGCCGGCAATGGTGGCAGCGGCCTGTCGTTCAATTCTATAGTTGAAGCCTTTGAACCGCCGGAGGTGCTAGGTCTGTGGTGGGATGTGCTCGGTCTCTGGCTCGTCTGGTGCGAAGTGCCGGGTCTCGGGAACAGCGCGAGCGTCTCCTTATCCTCCTCGAATGTTCCCAGAGTCTTGGTCATCCTGCTGCTGGAACGCATGTCGGCCGTCTTTGGCCGGTTAGAGACGTCAATCACTGTTGGTTTGCGGCACAGGACCGGGCTCGCCATTGCTCCCGACATTGCTCCCGAAGAAGACACCCGGGTTGAGATCCTGGTTGTCTTCAATGTGGCATCTGAGGCGCGGAGGTTGATGACACTGAACTTTCGTGCAGTGGCTGTAGTAGCGAATTCATATTGAATTGGCGAGAGGGGCTCCAATGGCGGTGGTGCTGGGTGAGGTTTTGATGTGAGTGCAAGAAGTGTTGCTTTCTTAGCCTCTTCGTCGGAGCAGACGGGCGAGGTGAATGTTTGTGTTATAAATGATGCAGACGCCGGTACATTCCGGGGTGCTTGCTTGTTGTATGATGTTGTTGGGGGTACTGAGGATGTGGTTGATATCGGGGTCGGTGAGTTGACAAGTGCCTTGCAGGCCCGGCGGAGGTCAAACTCGGTTCGTGGTGTGAGCGGTGTCAGAGGGAGTGGGAGGACGGTATCGTCGTCGTCTTCTTCGTGGAGACCTGCTGCTTTCACGGGGAGGTTCGTCTTCTATGCAGGTTGTTAGCAGGCTGAGACGGGGTTCGGTTTCAGGATTGAGGGTTTACTCACAATTGGTACCGGTCTGGAAAATGCTCTTTGCCTCATGATTGCGGTAGTATATTGAATTGATGATTGCTTGTGTTAGGAGTTGTTTTTAAGAAACTCTTCAAGGGAATAATCAGATCGTGGTATTCGATCTTCTTCCTCGGGTTAAGGATAGTATATGTATTAGAGTGTACGCTCAGCGTAGTAATATAAGTGGAGCACTTCCGAGTTGACAAGTAACAAAAAATACCAAAAAAAAAAAAGCACACCACCGAAAAACGAACGATCTTTGCAAAAAGACCAGGAAAATAAGGAAACCCCCTCAAGATGGGGCGGAATCAAGGGTTTCTATAACACCCCAAGGCCCCATCCAAACACGCGCACCCACACTCCCATCTCCCATCTCGTGCACCCAGGTGTGTTTGCACGAATAGGGGATGGAGCCTGTTGGTGATCTGATCCATCACACCCTTCCGTCTCCCAAGAGATCAGCATTTGAACAAACGAATCTGACCATTATTCACCGCAAAGAGGTGCCCAAGGTCAGGAAGGTTAGGCTCCTTGAGACTGCATGGCGTCCCATCCTGGTCCATCGTGGGGTGAACACGGTTAGTGCAGGACCACAAGCGAGCTTTGTGTTGGCTGTGAACCCTGCAAGGCACTTGTTTCATCAATGAACCGTTTGCCTACCAATTTCCCCTTCAACTCCACTCCCTCTCCACTCTGCGGTCTCTACCCAACCACACTCCCCCTCCGCCCTCCCCCCAAGTTCCTAAGCTCTCCTAAGGGCCCCCCCCCCCCCCCCCCCAAACTCCCCAACCCGTTCTTCCGAGGTGTTAACATGGAAATGGCAAGTGGAAGTGGAAATTCGCTGCCAACCCCCCCAATCGGGGATAACAAACACCTGCCTACAACAGGCTTCAGCGAAGGGTAGGGTTTCCTAGGCGATGCCCGGGGAATTTTGAGATCTTGCTTCCTGTGATGACGATCCTCCAGGAACCGATTTCGTCCAAACTTGTGTACCTACAAGCGTCCCCTATGTAGGAAGGAAACCTTTGCTTCCTACTGGACAGCACGCCTGCATTGTCAACCTCCCAGCAATTCCGGTCCAAGAAGCCGTTGTGGGAACCTTTTTCCTATGCAGGTCGTGCAGGTCCAGATGATGGATGTTCGTCCCAAATTTGCTCTGTCCTCCATCCGATCGCGTGTGCCAAAGGTCGAACCACCGCAATCAAGGGCCCTTTTCTAATATCAACCGATTTATTAAATCTCCCCAACGCGTCAACATCCATCCTATTACCATCTTGGTACTCTATGAGGAAAATTCAGAATATGGTAGGTAGAGTAGGTAGAGTACATACTCTAACTTAAGTTGCAGCTATGTACCGCGCGTCGAGCGCGTTCCGTCGGCTCCAAACCTAACCGAACGACCACCTAGTCTCCTTCCGAACCGTGGTTGATGACTTCATGGAATGGAAACAATTTATTTATATTTACTTTTCACGCCGCAATCGGTCTTGACAATAGAGTAGTATTTAGACCTAGGACACTTTTGTAGCACGAACGAACGGGACCGTCATAATAATTGTGATACAGGACAGAAGGGAGGGTCGTGTGCCGGGATATTCCGAACCGTGATGTGATGATGCGGATACGGCGGTCAAAATAAGTATTTTGACTCTGGAGGGCCCGAGCAAGACCCTGCCAAGAACGTCATTCGTGATAGCAAAGAGCCCCCCCTTCAAAACGTAAAACAGAGTGATAAGCCTTTGGGCTCGGAGGAAGTCGTCGATAGCCGTTAGAAAAGAGGAACATCACAATCATACATACGACGGTCTCTGGGTTAGGTTTTATGACATGGACAGCAAAACCAGCAATGGAGCTGTAAAAAAGAAAGAAATGCCTAATATAACGTCTCTCCCTTACCTACATGTACCTCGGACAGGAAATCGACGGGCCCCCCGCTCCCGTGGGAAATCTTTGTTCCTACATATGTAGGTACACGGCGTACCTAGTAGGGTACCTCAAGAAAGGGGTTCTTAGTGCTGTTGGCGTTGCAACCAGCGATGTTATGCCTAACCAAGCCTGTCTTGAATATATTTTTGGCAACGGACATTTTGTCTCAAACTTTATTTCGACAGGATTGCACTTCATACATGAAAGTATTTTGTTATGGTTGGAGACTAATATCCGTCAGTGAGTTCTGTTTATGCGATCGGAAGTTTATGTTTTATCTGAAGCTGATTGATCGTCCACGGAAGTTCGGACCGGGACCGAGAATGGCAAGTTGTTGCCCTTTGATTTCGATTTCAAGTGAGATGGGATCACATACTCGAGTGATGGACTATGAAAAAAATCTCTACTCGTCTCGCTCAGGCGCTTCTAGAAGAATTCGAATTCTTGAGGTGATTTAGTATAGACGTTGGTGTCTGACGAGTATTTAACACGAGGGTGCCATTTCTCCCCAATCCCTGTTGCCAGTACACCGTTGTTTTGCGCAAGTGGTTTGCGGGAACAATGACACGGACCTTGAGTGCACGATGCATTCAGTGGTGAACAGTCAAGGTGAGTCGTGTTTCCACCAGCTGCGGTTCAAGTCGGAGGTTACCCCCGCCTTGACAGAACGCGTGAGGCATCATTTATCAAAACCTCCGGATGGTAAACACATTAAGGACCGCATGCCCCCTTTCTCAAGTAAACAACGGATTCGCTCGCCTGAATCATGTCGTAATTATTTATGTAACGCTGATAATTTAGGCCTAGTGCGTTTGATGGTGTGTTCATTTGGTTAGTAATTCCAATTCATCTGGCCGCAGCTGGTGTCCCGCTCAACTGGTGGTATGAATGACCCTAGAGTAAATACTTGATCGCTCATACGCTCGCTCTATAGATAAGTAATCAAGAATGAATAGAGAGATCGACTTAGTTGTTCCCTGTATAGGGGCACCGCACCAATTGCCGGTCTCCATTGCTACTATTTTCCCATCAACAACAGAAATCCCTGTACATTATTAATCATAGCTGACTACCCCACATATGATTGGGAGATCAAGATTTCGGAGATTATCCTCATAATGTCGTGACTTCCGAAGCAAGCATGTGCAGATCGAATAAGATAAACTTTTACTCCATTCACATGCTTACCTTAAGTCACAGGTTTTGTCCGTAGGACGAATACTATTTATCCATCAATGTCATGGGTTGATAGAGCAGAGTCAAGCGTTTCGCTATCAGTAGTTCAAGTTGTCGATCGTGGCCCCTCTTGTATTCGAAAGGGTTGTGGTAGTGACTCTAGGTGCTTGCACATGCCTAGGTCTTTATATCTTGGCTTCATGATATAACAGGTCTCGAGCGAGCTTCTCGCGTTAGGGGTTTGATACTGTAGGATGGTTCGTGCTGCAGGCCACATCTGATGTGCTGGTTGGTCACTCGTCAAGTAGAGCTAGTTTCAAATATCGGAAGGTGCCGAATTCCTCTGTGAATAAATCTAAACAATCAGCACTATCCCAACTTTCAGGATCTGTCTCTCGGTATATACGCGCTCTCTAGTTCTCTTAGAGTAATGATGTTTCCCCTCAACTCCGGTAGCTTCTTATTGATAGCGCTGCAGCTCCTTTCCCGAGCTGTGGCCTTAGAAACGGATCTCCAGAGCTCCAATGACTCGCTTCACGCCCCTAATATCGGCCTCACTAATGCTGACTTCATAAACACCACAATCCCGTCCGCGGATGATTTGAAAATATCAGATTTGAACTTTCAATCCGATCTGCTCGTCAATGGTGGTTACAATATCGCATGGCAGGCTCGACCGTAGGTACCGTCTATTCCTCTACCGGCTCTACCATGCCTAACGAATCACATAGACTCTGGCACTTTTCTCGGTACCTTGGACATGATACCTGCTATCCCCAAAGTGCCACTACTTTAACCGGTGATCAGGCTCCAGGGTAGAGTTGGGGTATTGGCCCGATACCAATGGTGGATGTGATAGCCCTGGAGAGGGCAAGTGGAGTAAAGCATTCCCCACTTATTATAGCATTAGCAAGTGCAACGATAGCGAAGTTAGGGTAAGTCTTGGGATAAGAAGTGGGGGAACACGTTTAACACAGAATAGGTTGTTTATAATCTGTTTTTCCCAAAGGATGGTTGGGGTCCTGGCGGGACAGGTCATAAGTATGATTGGGAGAGGATATATGTCACCTGGAAGGAAGGGGGAGGTGGGTGGGCACCAGTGGAGGTGGCTTATAGTTATCATGGGGGTTATAACAAATACAAATGGGATGAGGTCTGGACGACTAAGTATTATCCGCTTCTCTTTCTCGCCTGATTCTGCAATACGGAGCTCGAGGCTAATACGGTCAGTACGGATGATCGCAACCAAACCCCGGAAGACGGCGTCAATATGAAAATGCCAAAAGTGTTCGTTAGTTGGGGCAAGCATGCTACCTTTAGAGAGAAATGCGGCGGATCGCACGGATACTGTTGCTGTGGCTTGGGGGATATTCTTTCGGAAAACCTGCCGTGGGCGCAGAGAAGCGACGACTACTATTATGTTGCCGAAGAAGGTAAGATGAAAAAGCTATAACGCAGGATAAGGACCGGTACTGAAACGTTGAATTTGTAGGTTATCTGCTTAATGCAGGTAGGGAGACGGAGTTGGGAAAGAAGATTGCAGGATTTGCATGGGGTGGTACGTCTTATCCCGGGGTTGTACAGGATACGATATGCGAGAAGTAGGGTTTTATTAGGACCAAATGTAACACTGGTGCGAGTACATGGCATGGTGAATCTTCTTTACACAACTTGAGCGATTCTGTTACGTGGTCGGGCTACGGAACGGGGTGGTGCACTATTGAAGCCATTGGTAATATATAATTATTAGTTGGGTACATAGAGAGAGTCTAGACAGCTCATCTCGTCCCTAAATTTAAACATAATTCAACTTTTAAATATTTATATTAAGGTCCGATATATTCATATGTAGCTGAGTTTTCTATCTATATTTTCGGTGGTACTACAGATCTCGTCCCCGATCACAACCTATCACTCATTGTTCCTCATCCCGACAAACCTTAACAACGAGTGATCTTCTATGACTGGATAAATGCATACGTAACATCATGTACAGCGACAGATAATAAGTGATGGAACGCCCTGAGAGTACAAACACCAAATGTTGATGGCGTTTTACCAAAACAGGTATCGCTGTGTTCCATCACTTATTACCTACCGCTCTACGTAGAATTGAAGTCTAGACAACGCCTCGGTTAGCCAACCCTTTATCTACATGTCCCCGCCTCGTTGATCAAGCTAGTACCGCACCCATCAATGGCAACTAACTTTGCTCCCATCTCCACCCCTAAATCCAACTCCAAGATCTGTCGCTATCCCATTTCCAAAGACACACCATCGAAAATCTCGTCACCTAGTATCACTCTCGTCCAGCACGCTACAACTCTCAAAAAACACGCTCTCAGAGATTATGCGCGAGCTTGCCCTTATCAGTAGTGACCTATCCAACCTCACAGATGAACATGTAGCAATCGAATCTCAACTAGAGGAGCTTCACAAAAGAGAGAATGCGAGACGGATAGAGAGCCGGAGAAGATTTGCGGATTCGTATGTGCCATCCATCCATTGCTGATATGTGCTATTCTAATGATAAGGATAGGAACAACCGTGCTAGTAAACTACAAAACAAATCACTCTCGCATATTGATGGTGTACTATACGCCTTCTATGATCGAAACAGCGGGAAGAAGATCGATATATTTCCCGGAAGGGTGGAATACATTGAGTGGATGAGTGGTAAGCATCCTCGATATGCAAACATTTAGGCCCTGAATAATCTGAAACTGGCAAACAATAGACAAATCGATAGTAACTATTCTAAAGGCTCTCGATGAGGACCTACCGGCCGATTTGAAAGAACTCAAATCTTGTTTTAAGAAGGTGATCGGAGTTAGTATTTGAGATTATAGAGAAGTCTTCTCCTTCCTGTGCGCATTCGCACAAGGAAATGCGTGTTCCTCCGACTTGCGGTATATATCCGATCATCGCCCACGGTACTTCGAATTGGGGACAGTACGATAAAATGGAGAGCAATACCTCTCCCTCTGTAAGTTGACCCAAGATATTTATGTTGACGAGTGTATTTTGGGAATTCGTTAATTCCGTCAACACAGTGCTTGGTTCTTTACTTTAATCCTACGTTTCACTAAACTGCCTCAATAATGTCCCCCCGCTCCGTTCTATTTTTATACTTCGACGCATTATCACACTCTCGAACAAGCACGAAATATATCTCTTAGACGTAACTTGTCGCCAACTATCTTTGCGCAGGTTATGATCTCTTTGTTGATAGTTGGCTTCTACGGGTTTGTGAGCATATGTAATTATAAGTGTCTTCTATTTTTTCACTAAATAACAGTGAGGGTAGAATCCTTATATTCAAAAAAAAAAAAAAAAAAAAAAAAAAAGCAGACAGTGCTGAAATCTCTGTGATACAGAGTGATGGCTTATACATGAGCACCCATCTCCGATAAGAAAACCAACGCTGTATGTTCCATTCAGTAACGAAAAACAAAAAATCACAAATCACAACCATCAGTGAATATAATTTGTATAATACCATTCATTGTGGCTGGCTATACTAGCTACAATATGCCAGATGTTGATAAATCTATCCATGGTTTGTCCAATTCACAATTCTGGGTTTTTTGATCGATAAGGACATTCCCTGATAGCTTTCTGTGGAATAAACCCCTTACAAATTAGGAGTAAGGAATACAAGAGGATCAAGCTATTCATTCTTTGGTAGCAAAGGCTCTACTAAAACACGCCTTTAACACCCTTCACTCCCACTAATTCCATTTTTTCTCACTTATCTCCGACCTTCATTCCCAGACGTTCACCCCCCAGACTGCCTGCTCGTTGTCCTCATCCCCCATATCTTTCCAATTTACCTTAGCCATCCCACCCCTACCGTCGCCATTCTCCTCATCATCGGAATATTCAGAGTAATCTTCGCTATCGGACTGGTCGTCCTCTCCCAGAAACTTGCGGTACTCCTTCGTCAAGATCCTGTTCTTCTCGCGCATGACCGCTTCCACGTCCAAACCTTTGCTAACTATCGTTTCTTCTTCTACGCCCCCAGCATATTCCACAAATGCCTCCAAAATACTGCTATAGCTCATGACCACCTCGTTTAGCAAAAGCTCCGCGTCCACTACTTGGCTCTCGGTCTCCAAGACCCCCGGGTCCGTTATCGCGGTCATGATACTCTGCACTTCAGCGCCCATGGCACCTACTGCGAGCTGAAGCTTGGTGAAGAAGGTGACGGGTGAGTCTTGTGGGTATATATCGGCGTGTAGAAAGACGTTGTCGATGCATTTCCTGACAGCGAGAATGCTGGCATCGAGCTCGGGCAAATGAGCCGAAATGAGGGCATTTGTCTTCGGGGAGTGCTCATGGGGAGCGGCGAAGGTGACAAGCTCGTCTGTAGGGATTTCAACTCTAAGCTTGACGGGAGCTTCTAGGGACCGCACAGGGGGAGAATTGATGAAGGTGATGGGCTTATTTAGAGGGGTTTCTGGTTTAAGCTTGACGGAGGCCTTTTTATAAGAGGTGGCAGGTGATTCGTTGCTGCCGGCGGATTTTGAAATGATGGCATCCCTGAGATTGGCCTTTTCGAACGGGCCAATGGAAGCTTTATCAATGATTGGGGGAGTGTTGGAGGTCAGGCCTTCTGCGGCAGAGGCATCCGCAACATCTGCAGCTTTAGGTTCAGCTCGAGTGTGTAGGATGAGGGGCATCTCGATAGTTTGTCTCTCGTATATATACTGATAACGCTGTGCGATAATTTCCGATTGTTTGTGATGATGGAGAGTCGATAGTGTGTGTGTTTAGGATATTAGAAGGAACTGCGGGCTTTTAAAGATCTAAGAACTGGTGAATGGGCCAGATGTACGCTGAAGTTTTTGTAAGCGCTAGGACGCACTCAGTATCTCACGAAAACAAACCATAACAGGCTTAACTCCTGTTGTGGTTCTTATTCTGGCGATGGCTGGCTAGGCTACTTGTAGACTTTGCTGCTTGGAGCAAAACGTCACCACATTGTTTATGCTAACTTTAAATGGCGAAATCTGATAAGTACATGTATTTAATATAACAATTATACAATGTTCGGTTTGAACGATATGAATGGCCAGGTTCGATGATATTTTCTTTTTTGTTGGTGATGGTATATTGAAGTTGCTTTTTGGTATATACATATAGATGACGACTTCGAGTACCTGTAATGGTGTTAGGCAGTTGGTACATCTAGTCAGCCAAAAGCAATAATCAATAGGTCTCATTCTGTTGGCAATTTGATTCAGAAAGAAGCAATGATAGGCCTCTGTTTGGTAGAACACTGTTAGTTCTGGCCTTATTGATTGTAACTTGGTGTTTGAATCCATTGCCTGTAATAGATCTATAGAACAAGATAGAAGGATGTGGATGATGTTCCTTAATTCTACTACAACCGAAGGCCGGTGAGTGCTTGCTTTTGATAAGTCTCTAATTATTTTTGAGGCCTAGCTACATGGATATGTTTATTTGCTTTGATATTATCTCCAGCATTTAAAAGGTGAATTTCCTTTTTGATCTAGGTAGCTAGCGTAGGTTTAGCAGAAAATAGAGGTGCACCCTAGCGTATTAGATTCATCAAATATCACTCGTCCGATCGACGAAAAGTGTAGTAATGTAATTAAGTGTTGAATTTAACTCTTTAATATGCGCAAGAGATTAGCCAGATCTCTATTAGACAGGAAAAAGGTGCCCGCCTATCACGACTCGTTAGATATCACTCATCGATCAATGAAAGGGAGTATTAGGTGGTGATTCTGGATAAAGGCGATCTAGAGGCGACTGGGTACCAAAATTTACTTACTCTCGCTCTGCATCCAACTAGAGAAACACCACCACCCCATTATCTCTTCGGCAGCTTCATACGCTCAGCCCTCCTCTGTATAAAATTGTCGAAAACCTCCCACATCATCTCCGTCATTTCCTCCTCGTATTCCTCGACGCAATGGACTCCAGGCAAACCATCCGGACCAGTACCTTCCCCATCCCCGGACAAGTCATTTTTACCAGGATCAACCGCACCCATTTTATCAAGATCCGAAGTCCACTTCCACATGTATCCGAACCGCTGTCCCTTTACCAGGAGGTAGCAGTAACATGGGCCGCCGTGAACAGCGCAGTGCGAGCCAGGCTTGAGCATAACGGCACCAGGACGAGCACGTCGGCGGGATTTACCCAGAATGGGGAGCGGAGCCTCCGCAGTGTTGGACGAGGTAGCAGCAATGGCAGCAACGGCGGGCGAAGCAGCACCGGCGGCGGCGGCAATGGTGGACGAGGTAGTATCGGTGGTGGTAATTGGGGTTGAAGTAGTACCATGGGCGTCAATAGTGGATGAAGCCGGACCAGCGCCGGTATCCATGGTGGATGGAGTACTATCAGTTGCGACGACGACGATAGGTTCAGTGGAGCTTGAAGATGTTTGGTAGGAGCCTGAGGGCTCTGTCTCATCGCTTGATGGGGATTCCGCGGAGAGGGCGGTGGGGTTATTCGTGAGAGTGAATGCTTTAAGAATGGCAGCCAAAGCTTCGCCGTTCCAATCACCGATAGTCATTGTAGTTAGCGAGATGAAAGAATGTCGAAGTGAAGAGAGATGGTATAGTTGGTGTGATGTCTTTTGGTTAGTGTCGTTGAGAGTGAGCAAAAAAGGAACAGGGCATTGAACAGGGTGGGAAGATTGTGAGCCCCCCTTTGCGATAGCTTCGACGTTTATGCAAAACTATCATTTCCACACTGTTGCACCCGCCCATACCATCATTACCACCTTCCCAGATTTTATATGATCCTCCGTTTCTATAAACTAATTTTCTACTAATGAAAAAAAAGAATGCGGCAAACCCGGATTGAACGGGTGACCTTCAGATGACACCCCGGATAATGAAGACTTCAGTCTGACGCTCTCCCAACTGAGCTATTATCGCCGCTGGTTGTTGCGGTCGCTCTAGACGAGAATTTCCCTAGTATCCAGGATAGCTGTTGGGCTAAACTTTTTTTTAACAGGGATCATTCTACTAGCGGCAGAAAGAAACTTACCAGAGACGAGCTGATTCCAAGTAGTGAGTGAAGATGTGTTTTGGCTGATTATTTGCATCATTATCTGTCTACATATGCAAACATCCTGTCGCGCTTTTCATGAGTGGAATGCCCCCACTGGATTGAAGTACTTGGAGACATCTATTTCGATACGCGTCTTAGTTTTGAATTAATAAGTACTTACTTAAGAACCTCCTCGCTCTTTGTAAGAACATAAAACGCGTAAGCGTTACCGGATAGTACTGTATTAAATCCTAGAATATCAGCTCGGTCTAGGTCTCGACTTTCTCTCGATACTTTTATATACTCTCCCTCGACCATCATATTAGGGTAAACAGTTCAACTACATAATTAATTACACCACCACACCGTCACTCTATTTAATCACACATAATTATAACAAAGTATCCCGTCATTGATTTTCATAATGTCCTCAATAATAACTTTTTTCGCCAGCTTCTCCATATTCAGCTCATAGTTCAGCGTCACCCTCCCCGCCTCGCGCCCTTGCATATCAGGAGATGAAACATCAGTATAACGCCTCTCTGGGTCTTTCTGCTGCCATTCCCACCATAGTCGGTCGAGGTTTGCGTGGTGGAGGTAAAATAGCGGGTCTGTTTATGCACATCGATTAGTAAAAGGCGATCTAGAAAAATTGTTGCTTTTTCCGCTTACCTCCAGGCGACGAATAAACATCCGCCAGTGTTCCTATTTTCCACGCACATTAATGAGTGACAATTACACCGAAAACATTCAGATAACTCACCACCAACCCCCAGATGTCCCGCCCCATGCAACCCAAGCTGCCTGGCCTCAAATATGCCCTCGATCCTCCTCCACAAGCTCTCGAAGCCCTTCTCATTCAACGTACTATTAACCTCTTGTTCGCTAAACCAATCTTGTACATAGGGGTGGAAATCTCTTGTTATGCAGTGATCGTTGCGCTCAACCCTCCCCCCGGGTCCCATATGAAGGGTCAGATTTGCAAATGGGCCGTTGGTGATGCAGCCACCGCCGGTACCGTTCATGACGCAGGGAGATTCGTAGGGCTGCTCGGAGCAGGGTACGTAGGGTCCTAGATAGGCCGGTGAGTTAAGAATATTGTTGATAAAAGTACTAGAGATAAGCTCACCATTCCCACCGAAGCCAGTGGTGTTGGAGAAAACGGGTGATTCAGCCCAGGTGCTACCTTCTTTCGAATCAAGAGACCAGTCCCAATACCTATCATACATATTCATTAACATCGTGATTTTGCCTGGAAATAAGATAGAGACTCACGGTTGCGACCCCCGATACCCACAAGATCCTCTCAATGCACCTTCCCATACTGCCGTGAAGTACCGATGCCAGGGCAGAAACCGACCATTCAGATGTACGTTCTCCATCTGTAGGATGTGCACGCCCTGGAAGTCATCAAAGCGCGACTGCGAGCCTGGAAGAAGCTTTCTGAGGGCCGAGGGCTGCGCGGTAAGGCAGCGGATTGCCGAAATGTACGCGGTCTGCTCGGAAACATTGAGAGCGCGCCTGTGGTATTTTGGTATTAGTAATACCTCTTAGTGAGGGTATGAAGGGGAGGAAATACCATTCTTTACGCAGGAGGGGTGCGCTACAGTTTTTGGACTTGGGGTCGGTGTAGGGTGCGTCGAGCGCTTCGGAATATGGTGAGAGCGAGAGGAGAAGCAGTAGGGTCGCGATGAGGGTGAGGACCATACTGAGGTGGAAAAGAGTGTGTTTAAGGGCGTGCGAGGGAGAGAGGAGCTGGCGAGGATTGCAAGGTGTTGGTGGGTGGGGAGAGCTGGAAGTAAGGGGGGTGTTGTGCCAGGGGTGCATTCTTGAGAAGTGAAGGGGAATCGATCGAGGAGACATGTTGTTGTGGAGATTATAGTGATACGGTGTGAGTGAGATACATCAGACGAAGATTTGTGGATACATATATATGTTAGACCGAGTGATATTTCAATGATACATATATATGAAGTGTTTGAATCAAGAGAACACTGGCATGGTCTCTTGAAAGTTTTTGGCATGGTGATGCTTGATCGTTGGTAAGAACGGTACAGCGACAAACGATAATAATATGCTTGTCTGATCCAAAACTCAAAGTGTTAGTTGAAGTAGATGCGCCCAACTCAATCTCCCACAAGTCGCACTTGATAACATACCAATATAACTAAACTGTGAGTTCAGATGAAACTTGAATCATTGCCGTGGCGTTGGCGGCTAATAAACTAAGTACTAATCGATAGTTCAAAAGTCAATCCTTTGGAATGATATCTTATGTCTCAGCTAACCCCACGCTGCGATATTAAGGGCCTTAACGAAGTAACGGCATCAGAGCGTATTAGGAGAATCATAGATTATCACTCGCATTTGTCATGTCTTCGATGCGAAGACAAACGAAGCCCAAGTAATCGCTATATCAGGTCGTCTACTAAGGGTCAGCTATATACCGCGTATGGATGTTAGATATTAGAGTGGTGGCTATACCATACCTGTGGTCGATGATCAAGGTACACTCAAACTTGCTGGTATGTATCTTGAATGCTAGCTAAGTGCCCTACACGCCCTGATATTCCAGCATATAAGCTTATGTTAACTGCTAAATAGGCAGTCAGCCCGTGGTGCCCCACCACCCACGATGTCTCGGAGCTTTAAATCGAGTATTTCAGTCGATTGTTGACATCAAAGAGGTTCATATACGTGGCTGTAGATTTGGCTTCGCTCCGCAGTCAACCATGTCGAGAATCAGTGCCCAAGAGGGCTAGCGTACCCAAGTAAAACCATTTCGCGGACAATTAGTGCAATTAGTGCGACCGGATCTTGGCAACAGTCTCTCAGAGTCGGAAAGCGTCATATTTTCCCCGGAGGATCCCGGTAACACGTGTACCTACTCAACCTCACTGATAAGAGACGTTTGTCTTGATCCTTAAAACACAAACCTGAGGGACGTGGCGTGAAGATACATTTGCAATCGTTCAATTGGGGTTGACCACAGGTGCACGACAACAACAACAACAACAACAACAACAACAACAGCTTAGACAAAGCAAGCAAACCTGGTTTTGCAAGTGCCCGTAAAGCCGCAAAGCGTAGTTCGGAGAAACCTTCCCGCACGTGATTGTGCATGTTGGTGGTGGAGTGTGAGTGTGGTGGGTGTGGCTTATGTCAGCCACACATCATATCTCTCGCCCCGCCAAGCCTTCCCTCCCTGCATTGGCTGGTTTTTGAACTTTCCCAGGAAAAAACATCTCTCGCCCAACAAGAAGAACTGCAAGAAGATACCGCAGAAAGGTGTTCAAAGGACTTCAGCTTCTTCAACGAAGCCCCCCTTCATCCCTCGTCTGAGATACCCATTCTGCTTATCAGCTACATTCTCAGCCATTTGTTGATTTTTTTCTTTCTGCCATTTCTGCTTCCTCCACCGAAACGAGAACGCGTCCAGAGATTTTCTTGTGCTCATCTCCCCTCTTGTATTCCTCCCAGACATATACAACCAAACCCATTTCACTACATCTCTATCTTACAGCTCCCTTCACAACCTTGATTGCCATACAATTCACCTCGATTCATATCGGGAGTTCTACTCCCCCCCACCCCCCCAAACAAAAACCCATTCTCTCTTTCTCTCTCTTTACCCAACCCACCCTTCCTAGCTTTCTTCCCTCGCCATGCCCGGCGATCGTCATTCAGGCGACCGGAATCGCAAGCGAAAACATTCCGATAATAATCAAACCTCCCGCATGTCACCCTATAATCCTGGCCGCTCGGGCGATCAGTACTCACCCCGGAATAATTCCGGCGGCGGTGGTGGCGGTGGTGGTGGAGGAGGAGGAGGAGGTGGTGGTGGTGGTGGACAAGGTGGTCATGGCGGAGGTGGTGGAGGAGGAAACGGTCGCTCTAGACGCGGTCGCCAACAGAGCTCCTCATCGCAGCAACAAGCGCAACAACCTCAAATCCAACGAACACCCCGACGCACTATGGATGAACCTAATGCCCCCGACGACTTAATGAACCTCGTTAATCAACCAACCCCCCCTGCTACACCGCGCGATTATTACTATTGGGAATACCTGACGGATGCCGTTATCAAAGAGTGGCAGTTTACGGGCTTCTCGCGTGTCAAGGAGTCGCTAGAGAAGGCTACAAAGGAAAATGACACAGATTCAGCCTGCATCATATTCCAGGAGCTCGTGAAGTCTGCTATTGATAACCGTCTCTCGGTGGAAAACGCTGCGAGGTTTTTAACCGATGTCTTAACAAGTCTAGATTTTAGGGACAACGCGGCCGGACTCGATCTGCGAAGTTTGTTCCTTTCATCACTACATCAGTTCGAGGTGGGCGACTCTGGAGAGAAGACGACACCTCAGAACTTGGCCCAACTTCTCAAATCCCTTATCCCTCACCCTATACCACAAGATGTAATATCATCGACACTCGAGTCGGGTACACTCATCGCTATCGGTCTTGTGACACCCATGTTCTCGAGGCGGGCGATTAAAGTCACAACCAGTCTGGTTTACAAACAACGAAGACACAATCTCCTCCGAGAGGAATCAGAAGGGTTTTCGAAACTAATTACAGAGTTTTTCACAGCCTCCTATTCCTCTCAGCCGTACGAAGTTGTCGCAAGGACTGGTGAACGGGTAAAAGGCTTGGTTGGCGCGTTTGAACTGGATCCTGGAAGGGTCTTGGACGTGTTGTTGGATACTGCCGCCTGTACGGTTGTTTCTAACGCTAGATTTTTCGTTAAGCTGTTGAGAGGAAGCGCGTGGTGGCCTAAGCACCTCCCTACTCTGAATGACGATGAGCAGGCCACCCAACAGGGAAGAGAGGAACAGAAGGCTGAAAAGGAAAGGCTGAAGGCAATCGCTGATGGTGCTTTCTTTGACAAACTACACAAGCAAGGGATTTCTGCGTTTTTCGAATCACCGGAAGGATATGAAAAAGGAGGGAATAAGGTTGCTGCCCAGCTTCTAGGATTCAAATTCCGATATTACCAGCAAGAGGATGTTAGGGAATCCACACCAGAGAATCTCCTGGTTCTGAGTGCTCTGTTGATCAAGATTGGATTTGTGGATTTGGCAGATCTGTATCCCCATCTCAGCCCTAGGGATGAGGAGGGTATGGAATCATTACACACTGCCTGGAAGAAGAAGATGGAAGAGAAACAGCGAGGTGGGAAACGGAATGCACTCATGATGGCTGGCGCCCTTGCCGACGATACCGTACCGCTTCCACCGCGGGCCAAGGCGTCTTCAAACTCAACCCCCGCCGCCGAGGAGAAGAAGCCGGAGGAGCAGAAAGCCGAGGAGCCAAAGCCGAAGATACAAGATAACCAGAAAGTCATTCTCCTCAAATATCTGCTTGCCGTTGGCGCTATCCCCGCTGCGATGTTCATCCTGGGAAAATACCCGTTCCTTCCCGGCCCTGCCGACGATATTGCCGATCACATCGGCCGTATTCTCATTCAGTCCATCGAGACGGTTTATCTACCCCTACGACCCAGCCGAACCGAAATGGGTATGCGGAAGGTCGGAGTCACCGCTCCTGGTGGTCTTGAGCTTGTTGATCAGCCCCGACGAAAGGCGATGGTGTCCTTTACAATCAGCAACCTTAAACTGAAAACTGGCGATATCGAATATCGCTTTTTCTGGGATGAGTGGAAGGATGGTGTTCCTATTTGCCGGGACCCTAAAGATGTGGTTCGTCTTATGGAAACCCTTGGACGAATTCTTGGCCCTCGTGTCGGGAGAGACCCTGGTGTGCTCACCAGGATCTGTCGCATTGGACGCATGGTGCTCAAAGCTCCCGATTGTACCGAAGAGGATAAGAAGAGATGGATCGATCTTTCTCGCGCGATTCTGGTGCCTGCTGTTTCACTTACGGATGGTAATGCGGGCCTTGTTAATGAGGTCTGGCGACTTCTCGAATGTTTCCCGACCACTACACGATACAGCTTGTACGGTGAATGGAGCACTGTTTCCTCCAAACGCATTCCGGAGTTGAAGTTGAAGGTTGCGGAGACCGAGAGAGAAACAAGAGACCTGTTGAAGAGGATATCAAAGACAAATGTCAAGCTGATGGCGAGACAATTGGCAAAGGTAGCGACAAGTATGCCGGTAGTCGTTATGCAGGTAGTTCTTGGTCAGGTGGAAGGATATGATAATCTGATCGAGTGCGTGGTTGATGCGGCCAGGTACTTCACGCCGCTTGGTTTTGACGCAGTTGGGTTTTGCGTCCTTAATAGGTTTGCTCTCTGACCAAGTTTTCGTTGTCAGTATCGGTACTAACAATTTTATAGTATGAGTACCGAGGGAAAGAAACGAGTACAGGCGGATGGAATGTTAACAAGTAGATGGCTACAATGTAAGTCACTCTCCTGGATTTCAACAGTATACTCATACTTTCATCCATCTCCAAGTTCCGTCTTCGTCATGTCTCCTGCCATACCTGGGCACCGACCGAAGGGAATTATGATCGGATTCCCCAAACTTCCTTGAACACGACTGACATTTGATAAAGCCCTTGCACACTTCTGTGGTAAAATCTACACCCGATATAATAAGCAGATGGATCCCACACCAATCCTTGAATATGTGGCCCGCCAGCTCAAGCGCAACATCTCGGTGGATCTCATTGTTCTCCAGCAGCTGATTCAGTCAATGGCCGGTATCAACCCTGAAATCAATCTCAACGATGCTCAACTTCAAGGATTGGCTGGTGGGGAAAACCTGAGGAAACAGATTCTCAAGGCGTTCCGCGACTCCAAGGCTGAGGACACCCCCGATACCATGAAGACACTCACATACACCCTAACTAAATCTGGGCTTGCCACACAGCTTCTTATCCTTATCGCGCAGGAGAGGCAAACATGTGTGTTCAGGCTGGATGAGGACGGCGCACCACTGAAGGTTCTTGGAAACTTGTTTGACGAGATTCACGTGGTGCTTAGTCAGTACCTAGACCTACTCAACACAGGATTGCCAGCGGAAAAATACGAAGAGATCATCCCCAGTGTTAGTAAGCTATGTCTAGATCTTGGATTGGAGCCTGCGGTAGCATGGTGGATCGTGAGGAACGCAGTGAAGAGTAAGATGAGAAAAGTTGAAGCACCGGAAGTTGACGATGTGGAAATGAAGGATGCTGAGGACGCGGCACCTGTAGTGGAGAAGAAGACGCCTTGGAACCCAGTGTTGGAGAAAATTATGGCGGAAGTTAAGCCAATCTTGCCGGAGGATGTTTGGTCGAAATTCAGCTTGAGCTTCTATGTCACATTCTGGCAGCTTTCGATCTATGATATCCATGTTCCGATGGAGGCCTATCAGACGGAAACTAACAGGATAAATGCCGCTGTGAGGGCGCTTGATAGTGATCGTTCTGACCTGTCTATTTCCGGAAGGCAGAAGACCAGGGAACGACGTGAGGAGCTAATGGCTACTAGTGGTCGATTGTCTGCTGAGCTTAAGCTCCATATTCGCGACCACAACCTCGCCAGACGAAGACTGGTGTCGGAGAAGGATCATTGGTTTGCTAGCGACCACTATGACCAACGCGAAGTTACAAATCACTTCATTCAGTACTGTCTCCTGCCCCGCATAATGCTTTCACCCAACGACGCTTCCTTCTGCTCGAGATTCATCAAAGACCTTCACAAAATGGGAACACCAAAGTTCCATACGATTGGCATCTACGACGCCATCTTCGGAAAATGTCTCGGCGCTACGATCTTCATCTGTACCCAGCGCGAAGCTGAAAACTATGGCCGCTTCCTGAAAGAAATCATGACCGATCTTCATGCCTGGCATGCCGACCGTGCTCTCTATGAAGCAAACGCGCTTGGAAAGAATCTTTGCGGGTTTAACGTCAAGGGTCATCCATTCGACTGGGAAGACTTCAGGAAAATACTATACAAGTGGCACAAGACTCTTCATAATGCGGTAAAGAACTGCCTTAGTAGCAAGGAGTACATGCATATCCGGAACACTGTTGTTGTGTTGAAGCATGTGCACATGTTTTTCCCTGCAGTTGACTGGATTGGAAGGACGGTTGTGGAGAAGGTTGAGGAGATCGGAAGAGTTGAGAAGAGAGAAGATTTGAAGATTGCGGCGACAACGCTGCTCGGGCTACTCAAGAGGAGGGAGAGTGAGTGGGTCCTTGTTGCAGGATTTCAAAAGGTACGTGTATCTTGTGTCTGTGGGGGTTGGTATTTAAGATGCGATGGCTTTTAGCTCGGTGGCAAATTCGGCTAAGCGACGACTTCTTGTCTGATTTGGTCTTCGTACCTACCTACCCGCTTTGCGATTTGTTATCGAGAAACGGTGGCTGTTTTTTCATTATTAGTTTATTGCTGTTATATATGGAACTGGGACTAACTGATGCAATTTATAGGGCGCCAAGAGCGAGGTCCTCACTCCTGCGGTGTCAACAAAACCCAGCCCATCGCCAGCTACAACTCCTGCGCAGCCAGTCTCCTCGACTACGAGCACTAAGTATGATTCCTCGCCGCTTGCCGAAGCCAACAAGGCCACAAAGACTGATTCGGATGCTAGTACTCCCTTGACTTTGCCATCGAAACCAGAGGCAGAGAAGGAAGACGGAGAGATTGATGACAGCACCAAGGGCGGAAAAGGTGATGGGAGGAGAACTGTGCTTTCGCCACAGAGCGCGCCGGATGCATCAAAGGACACTCGAAGGGCCCCAAATCTACCTGCTAGGCCAGGCCCCATCCCACCGCCGATCAGGCGCGGACATTCGAGAGAGCCACCTAGACCACAGCAGCAGCAGCCGCAGCAAATGTCTAATGAGCCCTCAAGGGTTGGAACACCGAGGAGGGACGATCCTATGCCAATTCGGGGCGCCGCTCAGCAAGACCTGAGTATGAGACAACAGAATGTTGCACCAAACAACAGGAATATTGCACAAAGAACCCAGCCCCAGCATCAACTTCCTGACCGACCACAGCATCCACAAGATGCAAGGCGAGTATCTGACTTGGAGCGGAGGGATTTAAGGGACCTGGTAAGAGACCCGAGGTCCGGCCCCCAGGTTGAGATTAGAGGGAGATTGGGCCCTGGTGAGAGGTTGCCGGAAAGACCGGGACCAGAGAGGAGGCCAGTAAGCCCAAGGAGGGATGGGAGAGATGTCCGTGGGGTAGATATGCACAGAAGGGATGTTGAGCGACCCCCGAGGGGGGGACGGGACGAGTCGTTCCAGAGGCCAGCACTCCCGAGCCGTGACGAGCGAGGTGGAAGAAAAGAGCCCGATCTTCTTCGCGGAAATGACACACCAATCCGACAAAACCAACCGCCGCAACAAACACCTCCCACCAGAATGGACACAAGAGTCCCTACACCCGACCAGGACCGCGGAAGGAGGGGCGAGAGAATGGAGGAGCGCGGAAGAAGACATGACCAGCCAAGGCATTCAGATCCCATGAATGTAGATAGTCCAGAACAGCAGCGTCGCGCCAACTCCGAGAGAAGACCCGAACAGACAACACCCAGACAGGAGGAATCTCCACATTTGCAAAGACCACCTGCTGGGCCGAGAGCCGATGTTGAGAGGGATAGGCGGAACCGCCAACAAGTTGAGTCGGGGCCGCAGACGCCTAAGGAGCGTGATTTGTTTACCGCGCCAATACGTGCACCTTCTGGCCCGAGTATCCCGGACCACCGCGATCAACGACATGTTCCAATTCAGCAGCACCATCAAGATCCAAACCACGGTAGATTGAACCCACCAGATTTGATTATTCCGAAGGGACCGCGAGAGCCCAACCCGCCACATGGACCGAGACGTGGACAGGTCTGGGTTGCTCCCGGAGTACAATCCCAATCGATTCCAGGCCCTGGGGGACCCGGGAGAATATTAACCACGCCTATCGGCGTGCAGCCCTTGTCTTCCCCGAGTGATAAGCCTATACCTTTGAACTTGCCGAATGATAAGTTCGAAGGGTCACAGCAAAGTCGCTCTGCACCCTCCACCCCGGGGGTGGATATTTCTGGCATCCATCCTGATAGGTTGAGGGCCATGACTGCGCTTGAGGCTCCGCAAATGATGGGTGCGAACGCTACACCCGTGAACCCCCGACCCGAATCTCGAAATGATGACGGGAGGTCGAGGGGAGATAGAGACCAGAGGCAACAGGGTCAAGGAAGACAGCAGCAACAGCCTCCTCCAGTTCATCCAAGCCGCATACAGAGTATTCAGGTCACAGTACCTTCCGGACCTAGAGGCGATAACGCAGAATCCACTTCCACATCTCCGATCACTGGACCGTCCACCAAGCCGGGATCACCCCCCACAGGGCCTTCCACGTCCAGGCCAGAGAGAAATGATACCGAAACACATCATCAGCGTAGGCGTATGCAAGCTATGCAGAACGTCCTTGGTCAAGCTATGGATCCAGCTCCAGCAGGTCAGGTTATTCGTGGGCGTGCTCGTCGTCCCAATGGCAACGGTGCCGGTGGGGGTTCTACTTCTGGCCGCGACTCGGGCCGAGACTCTGGCAGGGGATCACAGTCTCAACCTCAAGCCATTCCTCCCGAACCCTCGATGCTAGGCTCCGGAAGGCGGGGAAATATGCCAGAAGGGGGAAGCAGGAGAGCTAGCACATCTGCTGCGGTAGATGCAGTGTCTCACAGCGGAAGTGCCGAGGAGAGGCCTACTAGTGATCACGGAAGCCGTAGTGGTCGTCATGGTCGTGATCGAGACGGTGGCAGCGGAAGAGAAAGAGGGGCTGAGAGAGATCGGGAGCGTGGTGAACGTGAACGTGGCATGGAGAGAAGGGATAGAGGGGATGGAGAGCGCCATCTTGAGCGTGAGCGTGAAAGAGGTGAAAGGGAGCGTGGTGAGCGCGAACGAGGCATGGAAAGAGACCGTGGATTGGAGCGAGAGCGTGAACGAGACCGCGTTGCAGAACGGGTTGAACGGGTTGAACGGGTAGACTCTCGTCGCGGCTCTGATCGCGGTGGATCTTCCACTGATAGAAAGGACCGTGATAGAGGCGTTGAGCGTGTTGAGCGTGTTGACCGTGGAAGGGGCGGTGACGGGGAGCGTGAACGGGAACGTGATAGAGAGAGGGATATCAGAGAAAGGGACAGAGACCGTGAAAGCCGCGATCGCAAACACCGTAGAGAAGATAGCGGCGTGCGCGGAGACGGTAGGAAGGGAGATGAGGTTAAAAGACGCAGAAGAGGGGGCGGGGACAACTGGGGCGGGAATTAAAAAAAACCGGTGATAAGTCATTTTCTTTTCATGTACAGCATTTTCTTCTCTCTTTTCATTCAGTCTTATTACACGTTGCGTGCGGTCTCAATCTTTATGTTCCCTTATATATCATTAGCAGGGTGTTGTTAGCATAAGTGGATGCATTATGCATTTGTAGTTCCAGTTTCTTTTCTTAGTTAATTTGAGGGCGTGTTGGGCTAGGGGCAGAAAAAAAACAAGTACTCTGATATGGGTAGAATAAATCAAAATTTGGACAAGAATGGTTTGGAAATGCTTACTACCATTTGGACCAGTGATCATGATAATGAAGACCTTTAATTCTTTTTTCAAATGCCATACCTAGCTAGCCTTAACTCAGCGCACCATTACCACAGACACAATCCCTAGTTGCAACAACCAAATTTCAAGTATCCGTCTCCACCACCATGCAAATCTACTCCCTATGCCGCTGGTAGGTTGACCAGCAAATAGTCCATTCGGTGCTGAATTGCCCGCAATACCGCTTCCATATACTCCATTTCCTTATTGAGGACTTCCTTTCTCGATACAATCTTTTCCCATTTACTGTTGTCCAAGATGATGTTATCTTTGACGAGGCTTTTGAGGGCTCCTCTAATGCTGTCAGGCCTATAGACAAACTTTTCGAGCTCTTTGAGCTGCTTCTCTAGGACGTTGTATTTGGATTTTGCTTCTGCAATAGCGTCGACGCCAGGGGCGGCAAGATTGAGGCAAGCATTAATCAGATTTGGGTTAACAATCCGAATTGGTTCAGCGTTTGGGTTTACACCGACGTTGGCCATTGAGAGGATAGGGAGATGATGTATGAGGTCGAAAACGGTGGATAACTATTGCGTGAGAGGTAGAACAAGGTCTTTCTTTAGTATATTAGCAGGTGGATTTCAAGTATTCTATCTTCATCGGATGAAAATACCTAGGGGAGCAGAGGATTTCAAGTACCTATAGATATGCAATATCGTTTCAAGAAACTCAGAGATATTTGTAAGATTGCAGGAGAAGTTTTTTTTCTTGCTCACAGACTCGTAAGTGGTGTTGTGAAAGGAACGAGGGGACCGTGGCGGGCTTTTTGAGTGCGAGTGATCAGCTGTGATTGAGTGCACACGAGGGCTGCGTGATGTGTGCTACAGCGTCCCGTAGAAATTCAAGGAGGGGTTGGCGCGTCCACTGAAGCCGCCTCGGCTAACAGGTATACATGAGCGGAACGTCATATTGAATTCTAAAGGTCTATATAGGATTCTTAAACCTGTTGGCTTGATCAAAGAGGTTCGAGATATTTTCATTTCTTACTGTTGAAATTGGAGAAACCAAATACCTCAGTGCAGTCGGAATCAAACATAGAGAGCAAGAATTAGTTTTGGACCTTGTTACATACTATTCCGGTCGCTATCTCTTTTGCCCATGCTCTACAAGTTTCTTAACTACATGTACGCAGTACAACATTTCTTGCTTATGTAACAGCAGTATTCTGTCCCCCCAAACCCTGGCCCTGGAATAAACACTACATGTATTGTACATGTCCTACCAATCTATCAACACTCCGGCGTACAAGCTACAGGTATATCAGCAGGCTATGATTTGAAGGAAGAATCTTCTTCCTTCCTTTTTTTCCCGGCTCTCCAGAATCGCATTATATGTTCGCGATTTAATTACCTTGACCTAAACACACAAGTAAAAGAAAGTATTGGTTCCCTTCACCTCGGAACAAGTCAGGGTAATTATTCTGTCTGGTTTTTGGATCTGAGAGTTGATCGAGCGATATGTCTTCGCTGTCCTCTTCTGGACCTGAGGACATACGACTATACCCGAGGGGGTATAAAAATGCAGGCGGTGAGCATTCGAGGACGCCGGGAGCTAGTTATGCACGCATGCATGTTGACACACTGAACATGAGAGGAGAGTGGAATTTAAGAGGAAGTAACATCAGTTGAGTTGGTGAGAATTACTCTAGTTTTTTTTATTGACTTATAGTGGGAAGGCTCGACGACTCGGATCTTGCCTCCTCTTCATATAAATGCCAGGTCCGGCCACCTACATACACCTATTGGAGACGTATGTACAAGTTAGCTCCCCAGTTGGAGATCATTGCCTTTGAGTTAACGAATAACCAGGAAAAAACCGAATGAACCGCCATAAATTGTGTTCACAGCTAGTTGCCGGTGGATTTATTTCTGTTTGTCGCTTCCCAATTTGGTCCCGTCCTGTCTAGTACTGGGGGGGGGGGGGGGTTCTCTATACAAACAGGCCAGTCCGGTATATATATAAATATATATAACTCTCATACACGAGAACAGTACTTATATCTATGTAACACTCCCCCGTTACCAATCAAGACTTTTATTCTCTACACGACTTACGCAATGATAGTATAGTCGAGATATCCGGTGTTCTTAGACATGTGGTTAGCCAATCAACTGGCTCCTCACTGTCTCAAAGGTACGTCACTACCTTCGCAACAGCATCTCAACAAAACAAGCACCTTCTTCAGCAGCGGGCATGATTAAAGAAATGCCCCTCCCCCCCTTCGCTTTAGTCTTCCCTTATATTCGTCACTGGAGGCCTTCAATGGTGCCCCTTCCGCTGACATTGAATCTTCCAGCTTTGAGGGAGTCATATGGTGCACCGTGCACCTCCTGGAAATACATCGCCTGCATTTGAGAATGCCGGAAGAGCATTTCAACATTAGCTACATCGCTATCTTACGCCTAATTATAACCTAGGGTGATCTTTTGAGGTAATTCTCTTGGTTTATAGTCTCGCCCGAGAAGCGTTCCGTGTTAGTTGAACCTTAATACATGTATGTATGTTCTAACATGGAGCCTGCTGGTGCTTAAAGGGACGAGTAGTTGACTTTCCGTGTGCTTAGGGTTGATAACGCTCACTTGGATATATATTCTCTTCAGCTCCGGGTCGACGTAGGGGCACCACTCAGCTAGTAGGGTATTTAGGTGCTCGAAGATGATGCTCGCAGTTATCTTGGCGGAACGCAGATGAATTTCGCTGTCTGAGACTTCTGTTGAAATCTACTTCCCACCATAGGTCTCAAAGATTAGAACGAGGTCGAATTATAGTCACCGGCGCTCACTCGACCACTGGATTGCCTGTCCGTCCGGGGGGGTGACTGGGATCCTCAAACGGGTCACTTGCATGGGTGATAGTCGAGAGAAGATATAATGTATGTAAGTAGAAGTGCATATGTCCTTGATATAATATACATGTTTATTGATAAGAAAAGAAGAACAGTGTATGATGTGTGGTATCTATGCCAGGGAAAAAAACATGCCATAAACCGAGGAAATAATCGAGAATACCGCCCAAACATAAAGACATAAGAAATAACATCAAGGTCATCTATATCACCCATAGTGCCACAGCCACAGCTACCATCGCTGCGACCACTGGTATCACTCTTCTCTCCGCCCCAGAATCGTTCTGGCCGCCACTTGTCGAACCCCCACTATTAGAGCTCGACGCGCCCCCAGCTGACCCCGGCGGCATCGTGGACGCATCCGACACATCATGCTCTACAAAGTCCGGGAGCCACTTCGCAAGCGCATTTATAAATACCGTATGTGCGATATTGGCTCCAGACACCGGCCCACTCGGCGGCCTGCTTGTATCCCTCACCGCTACCACATCGCCTAGATCCGGGCAATGAAACCCGCCCGGGACAACAAATCCAAACACATCGTTATCAGGCGGCACCGTTCCATTCCCTGGAATATCCGTCGTGGTCGGGCGCTTTGGTGCCAGGTCAGTGGTCGAATGCGGTGTGACGCTCCGCCATGGATCGAACTCGCCGTCGTTCCACATCACGTTGCTCGGGTTCATGTCCCATCCACCGTACCTATCGTTCAGCGGTGCTATATTTGGGCCGTTTTTCATGCCGTTGCCAAAGTAGGAGACGCAGTCCTCAATCCAGGAGTCGACGGACTCAATCTTTGGGAGAAGTGACTCGGGGCGTGAGGCATTTCCGACCTGGAAGGCGCCAAACTCAGAGCATACTTGCCACTGCCATGAGAGGTTGTTAATGGTCTCCTCGCAGAAGGACTGGTCGCGGAGGGAGGAGCAGTCGCGGCTAATCAAGACGTCCGACATATTAACGCCGACCGGGGGGATCTGGTCTTGGGTGAGAAGATTGCTCCAAATTTCCCTGATGACTGCGGCATGGATATCGAGGGCGCTGTCGAGCTCAAAGTCTTGAAAGATGCCGGTGGAATTGGCGTCGAAATTGCGGAATGACCCCGCTGCTTCGAGTTGGAGCTGGTTGCAGAAGTACCCAAGCCAGCCGTCCATTCCAACATACTGCACATCAAGAGTCCCGTTAGCATCAGATATCTACTACTCTTCCACCCACAGAAACAACAACCAGCAATAACGGCCAAAATACACACCTGAAAGTCCTGAAATACAACTCCCACCGCCGCCCTCATGTTCGTCTTCCGATCCAGCCACGCATCGCCCTCATCATCCCAATGGAAATACCTCCACAACGCCGTCCCCTCCGCCCCCGTCACCCTCCCCAACCAGTTATCTACCGCCGTCGCATTTTGCTTATCAATAGCGTCATTCACCCACGCATTAAAACTCCTCATATCACTCGAGCAGTTCTGCCATCCCTGTTCGTCCATTGACCTCTCCACCGGCAGGAAATACTGCCAAAAGTTCTCCTGCAGCTGCACCACCGCCGACGACGCCAATGATGCATGGAAGATATCGGGATTACGCAGACGGGCCCATGCAGCGCGCGCGCCGGGGTAAGAGCCCCCGACAAACACCCATGGCGTGGTGGACGGGTGGACGCTGGCATTGAAAGTGCGAGCGAAGACGGCGACGTCTTCGAGCGCTTGCTCGATTGTATGGTGGGCGAAGTAGGTGCTGAGCTGTGAGGGGGTGAAGCTGAAATCAGAGGAAAATGTAGGGAGGGAGGAGCCGTAGAAGCGGTGCTCCCAGAGGATTAGCAGCCTATTGCGAGGTGGGGGGGTTAGTTTCTACTACTATAGCTGGGAAATAATGAAGAGAGGGGATTATTTATATACCCATTAAAGCGTTCTGCGAAGGACCCCGATGCGCCGGTGGTTAAGTATGCCTCCATACCGTCTGCAGTGGCTTCGCCATTATCGATAACTATATCCACCCGCCAACCAATCATTAGCCCCCTCTCCATTTCTACTATTCTACCCTTCCAACTCTGGTACTAGAGTACTTACAAAACACAGGCCCTCCAGGCTGATAAAATGTCTCATCCACCCAATATCTATTCGAGAAAGTCTCACTATTCGAGTCTGTATGGTCCAGCGGCAACTCAATATACAGCGGCCCCGACAGCGCCGACGTAGCCCGTTTCTTCGTCGTATCGACTGGCGGGTGAAGACGGTCTTTATTTACGAGTTTGTGCAGCGACACTGGACTGAGGCGGTTGGATACTAGGTGGTCTGTCTCTGCACCTGTATCTTCTGTAGTAGGAGCGCATGTAGCTGTCTGCGCGATGAGTAATAGGAATGGCAGGAGGAGGGTTGAAGTGGTGAGATGCATTTTGGCATACTCCTGGGCAGCGCAGCGTGGGAATACAGGCAGTTAGACAGGTACAGATTCACCAGCAGGTACAGGAAAAAAGTGTGTGGGGGAAAGTGTGGATATATAGCACCAGTTATTTTTTTTCTTTCTATTTGCGAGTTAGATATGAAGCACAAACCCACCCCCTAGAAGCTATGGGTGGGTGGGTGGGTGGGTGGGTGGGTGTGCAGATGATAATTTACTCTACATCCAGCGTCAGGTACTCTAGGGTCTCCTCCGCAAACCCCTCCCCTCCCTTTCCCCAGGCTAGGCTGTGTTTCTGTTTCCTGGGATCCTACTCTAATTTGCAATGACACAACGAGTCGCACAAGTGGGTGACAGCTGCAAGCCACCCTGAGCTAATGCAAAAAGCAATCATTGGCTAAAGAGCACTTATGTATTGCAGCTGGCTTCAGAAGACGCAATCATTAAGCAGGCACTGCAATTGTAAGGTGTGCTGCTGGTTCCGGAGAGATTATGAAGCCTGAGGCTTTGCACTTTGCACATTGCTTTTGAGCCAATGGGGTGTAGTGGACGTGCTCCGGTTTGGATTGATGTAAAGTGAGAGTGTAGCAAGAGGGAGCAAGCGCTTGGCAATTCCCGAAGAGTCAAGACCCCAGACCCCTGTTATATTAACGGTCGTGCTCTACTAGTAGAGCACACTGCCAAGTAATCTTACTCTATCGATATACTCGAACACTAGTCGAAGGAATCTATTCTATTCTACACTTACCCCCCGATACAGTCCCATACAGAGAGCGAACATAGCTAAAGCAGAGCCGAGTTCGTTCCCAAACCTAAACCTTTTATTGGTTATGCATATTTTGCACCCCTGTGGGTATCGTGCCGGGTTTCCCGGCCGCCACTCAACATGTGCTTCTTGGAACCAATATGGCCTATGACTCGGCTGCCTGGTAGCCTCCTGCCTAAAGAGGGCGCGCTGGAGTAAAAAGATGGAACTTGGAATATCGTTGCTGCCTCTTTTAAATAAAAAGGGATCTGGGAAGAAAGAGAACCCCAGCCTTGGTCCATAGAAAGATCGATACTGAAAGCTTGAAAGCGATGCTCCCGGTCTGAGACAGCTGATGAGATGATGCAATTACTTCGTGCGCCCAGTACGGCGCGTGCTGCTGTTGTTTTCTTGAAATGACTCTCAAAGAAACGAGGCCTTGAAAAGAGTATTTGGAATCGAACTCGGCATCGCCGGAGAAGTTAGTATCCGGGAGTGACTGCCAGATAGTTGATAATGCATTTGATTCGCCCTTCAGCGACACTAGGGAATAGAGGCGCAAAGGGTAGGCCCGAGGCTAGGAATTCGAACTCGTAATACTTTTTTAAATAGTAACCTCCAAAGGACAGCTAGCAGTTATGGCAGGTATCGTATCGTATCGAATTGTTCGGCCCAATATCTATTGCACAGCCTCTGGGTAGAAAATAACTACACATATGCCAGACAGTTTCAATAGCCAGATTAACAAGAGCCTCCGGAGAAAATCAACGGCTCCGGGCCGAACAACACCTGACCCCCACCGGTGGGTTGACGTTCGAAGTGTCCCATTAGGCGGGGCTGGGCTGGGGAACCGGGCAATCAAGCTACTCCATGTCCTACCTACTCTTTTGTGCGATGACCAGTGCGGTGATACAATACGAGCTCACCAAGTGGCTAGGGCGACAGGGGTGCGCACGCGATGATGCAAATATATTGTACCTATCTGGTCAACGTTTATCCGTTGCTTGTTTTGTATGTGTTGGATGTGGTTTCATGGAGTAGAAGTACAGGTTGCGCGTTTCGTAGCATCCCTGCAGCTGCGAGTAACTAGAGACGGTATTTAGTAGACGATACAATCGATAAACCAAAGGATCTTTGCGGAGCGACAGATACCTACCCTCTATCCTCTCTCTCGAAAAGAAAAAAAGTTCTCTAGGCCTCAATCAAGCCCATAGGTTAGAGAAAGTGTGTGGGAGAAGTGAAGTAATTGATCGTGTTAATTGTACTAGCTAAGGGGGAATGCCCCGTATTTATACTAATGAAAGGTAGTACAAAGAGAAATACAATGAGTCATGGACGTGTGAGTAAATAGAATGACTAATAGGAAAGTGAGTCATACGCCGATGACAAATACTATAATGAAATGGTGAGAATCTTCCAGAACTATGAAACGTGCCGAGCGCCCTATTTCAAGACTTCCCCTCGTGAGCCACAGTGAATAGTAGAAGAAAATAAAACATGTTTGCCTTTATCCAATCCCTTTGTGAGTAAATCCGCCACGTTCTCATTCGTAGAAATATATTCCAGTTCAAATAATTCATCCTCAAACCGTTCCCGAACAAAATGAAAGTGTACGTCAATGTGTTTAGACCTTTTATGAAAGACAGGATTTTTAACCAAAGAGAGAGAGCCGTTGTTGTCGCCTCGAAGAATGAAAGAGAGATTTGGTTTTCGTTCCAGCTCGTGGATTGCGTTCCTTAACCAGATCAGTTGTCGACTGGTGTCCGAGAGGGCCATGTATTCCGCTTCAGTTGTAGAAGTGGCGACAGATCGTTGCTTATAAGAGCGCCAGGAGATGAGGGCTTCCCCTAGCATGAAGCAGTGACCGGTGAATGAGCGGCGATCGTCGATGTCGGAGGCATAGCTTGCGTCGCTGTAGCCAATGAGTGCAGTTGGTCGCGTTTTGGTGTAATGGAGTGACCAATCGAGGGTGCCCTTAAGATAACGGAGGACGCGATGGACTGCAGCTAGATGAGCCTTGGTGGGACAGGAGGAAAATTGTGAAAGCATGGTGACGGTGTAGGCGAGGTCGGGTCTAGTGCCGATTACTGCGTACATGAGTGAACCGATTATTGACTGATAAATTGTTGGATCGTCGATTTTCTCAGCTTCCGTTCCTTTTTGGAGGTGGACGTTATTGTCGATAGGTGTTGCCACAGGTCTGGATTCGTCGAAGCCGTATTTGATAAGTACACGCTTGAGATAGGCTTCCTGTGATAGGGCAATGCCAGTCTTAGTGTGGATCAAGTGGATTCCGAGTGCCCAGTTGGCTGTGCCAGTTTCCGTCATTTCGAATTCAGAGTGGAGGAGGAGGCTGACACGGTTTTTGCGTTCAACGGACCAGTAGAAGATGAGGATATCGTCTACGTATATCGCGATGACAACTTCCCCTGTCTTGTGTATGAAGACACAAGGGTCGAAGTCTGCTTTTCTGAATCCTATTTTGATTAGCGCTTTTGAGAGGCGGGCATACCATTCCCTTGAGGATTGTTTGAGTCCGTAGATGCATTTGATTAGTTTGCATGCTTTGCCGGGAGTGGGATAGCCTGGAGGAGATTTCATGTAGATTTCTTCCTTAAGTTCGCCGTATAGAAATGCGCTTGTGACGTCCATCTGATCGCATTGGCCGCCGGTTTGAAGGCAGCGAGCGAGGAGTAGTCTGATGGATTCGTATCGGGTGACGGGGGCATAGGTTTGATCGAAATCTTGACCAGGGACCTGTGAGAAACCTTTTGCGACTAGTCGGGCTTTGTACCGTATGGGGTTGCCATCGGGCCCGAGTTTAATTTTGTATACCCATTTGCAGTCAACTAGTTTGCGGTGGTCCGGTGTGTTGACCAGATTCCATGTGTTATTCCTTGCGAGTGAGTCGAGTTCAACTTTCATAGCATTCTGCCATTTTTCGGAGTCAGGACTGTTCATCGCTTGGTGGTAGTTTGTTGGTTCTGTTAGGGTAGTGTCATGCTGAATGTTGTGTCCGTATCTGATCGGAGGTTTCCGTTCCCGTACTGGGTTACGTCTCGGTTGATCAGTATCTGTTTCATTATCATCATGCGGGGTACGTTCAGTGGCGGGCCTCGTATAGCCGGCCCCCACTATACTTGCGTGGTCTTCCGAATCAGTGTCGGAGAAATGTTCCATGGTTTCGCGCATTATTTGTTGGTTGATCATGTCGTCGTCACTTGGGTCGTCGTCGTATGTTCTATGTTGTTTTGGTGTTGACGGACGTGAGGGTGGTTCTTGTTTGATCTCGATTTGTTTTGGTTTAGGGGGTGTGTCGGTTTTTGTTTTGACTTCGATTTCTTCCCCTACGGATGTACCTTTAAACCTAAAATGACGAGAGAGAACTACTTTCCTTTGTGATGGTATGTAGACGCGACAGATTTTTTCAGAATCTCCGTATCCGCAGAATTGTCCCGTTATAGCCCTAGCATCCAGTTTTGTTCCAGCTGGTCGTGCTTCGACGGGTATGTGTATGAACATGGTTTCACCGAAGGATCGGAGGTGCCCAATAAAGGGTTTCTTGCCGGTGAGTGCTTCGTATGGTGTCATATTCGGGAGTGATTTGTGCGGGAGTCGATTTTTGACGTGTACCATGGTGTTGATCGCTTCTGCCCATAGATTTTTTGGGAGGTTGTGGTCGAGCAAGGCGGATCGTGCCATTGTTGCTATAGTCCTGTTAAAGCGTTCTGCTGTTCCATTTGACTCGTGAGAGTAAGGTACAGTGAATTCATGCTTTATGCCTTTAGAGGCAAAGAATTGTTGGAGGTCATTGGAGATGTACTCGCCACCGTTGTCGCTTCGAAACCGTTTGACCGTTTTGTCCAATTGATTTTCCATGTATGCGATATATCGTTCCGTGGCAGCTGCTGCATCTGACTTCTTTTTAAGGAAGTAGAGGTGAGCGTACCTAGAGTAATCGTCGATGAAGGTGATATAGTAACTAAAACCGCCCAGAGAAGGAGTCGAGAACTTGCCGCTCAGATCTGAGTGTATTAGTTCCAGTGGTTGTTTGGATTGTGGTTCGGTGAGGGGAGCGAGGTGAGATTTGGTTGATTTAGCGAGTTCACATGTGTTGCATGTTTCCATGTGACCAGATGTGGGGAGAGACTTGGGGTCGGCGACCATGGTGCGAAGCCGTGAGAGCGAGGAAGCGGGGAGATGTCCAAGCCGTTGGTGCCAGTCATAGAAGCTGGTGGCGGCAGAGAGGTGTGCGCAGGGTTCCTTGTTTTCAAAGATGTAGAGACCAGTACTATTTGCGTTAGCGATCCCGATGATTTCCTTGCTATTCGGTTTGTAGATGGTAAAGCCGTTTTCTGTCCCAATTGTTGTGAATCCCTTTTTAGCGATGCAAGACCAAGACATCAGGTTGGTATTGCCTAGTTCGGGGATCAAGAATACGTTCTGCAGAGTGATCAGGCCATGTGATCCGTTGATGGTGACGTTGCCAATTCCGGTTATCTGGAGTTTGCGACCTCCTCCAACAGTAACTGATCCAGTGTGGGGAGTGGGGTCAGTAACCAGCGTTCCGGTCATGTGGTTGGTTGCACCAGGGTCGAAGATCCATGCCTTGTTGTCGGTGGTGGAAGGTCCTGCAATGAAGCCAAAGTAGTCTTCCATGGTAATGTCCGAGGTGTCATCTGAGAAGTTGTTGAGGTCGAAGTCAACCGGCATTGTGAATACATCGGTTTCTTCGAGTGCGGGAAGGCCAGAAAGATCGGGGATCCAAGAGAGGTCGAGTTTTGTGTGAAATGCAGTACCAGATGCGACGTTAAGGTTGCCAGATGCAGCGGACTTCTCCTTGTCTCTGAAAGCTTTGAGTTTTCGGCAATTTTTGTGCGTGTGGCCTTTTGCATATTCTCCATTCTTGGTGCACCAGGTGCATGTGACGTCCCGATTTCCTGTTTCGTTGTTGCGTGGCCTCCTGACTCTGTTGTTGTTTCCGTGTCCTGGGTTTCCTCGCCTGATTGTGTAGGCTTCTCCAGCCGCCTGTCCATCGTTGTTGCGCCGTGAGTCCAGATCCAACAGCTTTTCGTAAACGTCATCGAAGGTGACGTTGGGCTTGGTTTGCAGGTTGTCAACGACTGATTCGAGGGATTCGTGCCGGAGTGAGAGGAGTAGGAAGGATGCCTTCGCTTCTGTGACAGATGCGAGTTGGTGAAGGTGGTAACCGAGTGGGTCTTTGGTTTTGTCCGTAGAGTTACTAGTTCTAGTGAGGAGAGATGACCAAAGAGTGTTGAACTGGGTTAGATGTTCCTTGATACCCTTGTCGGGTGTGTACTGTAGTGTGACGACATTGGCGAGGAGCGAGTGGAGGGAAGCGACGGTTTTCCGATCGAATCTGTCCTCGAGTTGAGTCCAGAGGTGATGAGCGGTGTCGGCCGGTGTCAGTGTGAGAATAACTTCGAATTCGATGTTAGATTGAAGGAATACAACTGCAAGGTTGTCCTTTTTGTCCCAGTCGCTGATTTCTTCGGCGTTGTCGGAGGTTTCTTCTTCGTCTTCTTCAGCCTCAGCTACGCTTCCTGATGCTTGTGGTGCCGTGGTAGGTACAGTAGTGGTAGTGGTTGTCAACACGGGACGCTTGCTCGAACCATTGACCAAGTTCCACAGATCGTGAACTTTCAACATGCGGGTAGCAAGGTCCCTCCATACAGTGTAATGGCCTTGACCATCCAGCTTGCATGGGAGTGCGGGAATTTTGATGCTCCTCTCAGACATGATTGAAAGTGAAACGAGAAAGTGTACTTTGTGGTAAAAATGGTGAAGAGTGTATAAGCGTGAGTGGTCTCCGGGCTCATAACCTAGAGAAAGTGTGTGGGAGAAGTGAAGTAATTGATCGTGTTAATTGTACTAGCTAAGGGGGAATGCCCCGTATTTATACTAATGAAAGGTAGTACAAAGAGAAATACAATGAGTCATGGACGTGTGAGTAAATAGAATGACTAATAGGAAAGTGAGTCATACGCCGATGACAAATACTATAATGAAATGGTGAGAATCTTCCAGAACTATGAAACGTGCCGAGCGCCCTATTTCAAGATAGGTTGCGACAAACCTCCCCATAGCTGTCGTCGTAGCTAAGCATCAAGGCAAGGTCGATCCGTAAGCAGCCACTTCCGCGGTCGCATACGTTCCTGACTCCTAAGTAAGAATAGTAGCAATAGAATTCTTAATATTTCTACAGCCCAGGTATGTAGTCGCCGTTAGTCTTGTAAATCTGTTTGAGTTTGGGTATGCGCTGGTTTCCAAAACGCCGAGTCAGTTAATAACCTAACCCTGGTGGTGACAGCGGGTAAAGTGCACTTTTGAAGATCTAGCTAGACAAATGGAGCTTAGCTTCGCGATAATTCTGGTCAACTGAAACCAGCGCCGCGAACAGACATGTCCGACTGCAGTCAACTGTAGTCGACTGCGCCAAGCGAGATAGTTGAAAGAAATAGGACGGACTATTTAGACTGTAGGACTGCATTCGACTGTGAGGTCCGTCCAGCCAAGACAGTCCGTCCAAAATTTGGACGGACTGGATGGACCGTGAACTGCATAAGAGCCACAAGTAGTTTAGTTTTTCTCGGAATGGAACCAATAAAGATTATATAATATTGGGCAGACATTTTCTTTTCTAAAAACAACAGATGCCGTGAGTACACCACTTGTGCAGTCCATAGTCCTACACTATGGTCTACAATTTGCTGCAGTCTTGTAGATTCCCCCTTGATCCGTCTAAGACTGGACCGTTACTGCTGCTGACTGAAACACAGTAACCATGGACCTGTAAATATGAGTAGCCGAAAAAGTAAATTGAATCTGAAAGGATAGGTTTGCACATACCGCCCTTCTGGTAGCCGTGCGTGCTGTGCTGCGGTTTGGAATAAACCAGCCTCATGAACTGTACAGTGTGGTTGAACTGATCACGAGTGAGTGTGGCCATGGTGATGGTAATCACTTGACTTCGTTCTAAATCTTAACCTTAAGCTTACTTCAAAGTCAATATTCGCATAGGTAGAAAAATAACTAACAAATATTTCAATCGTGTATGTAACGGATTCTTACATGTCTTTCAGACCCCAGCCTCAACCAACCTGCGACAATCCGCAAGTGGTTAGTAGTCAGAAACTACGCACTCTTCTCTTCAATCCTTCAGCTGAAGTTTGTGAATTTGTCCTAAGCTAGGTTCATATTCTCCAAGTTGCGGAAGCGTTCCTTGGAAGTTGTATTTACCAGATATACATCAAATTATACTCTAGGCACCAGGACAGCCTCAAAGGAGGGTCTCCAATTATGAAGACAAAACCACGATATAGATATATTTGCCGAGGCCTAAGACCGAGAGTGAGGTTGATAGTAAACATCTCATTGTCTCATATCTAGCGTTTCTATTGACGGTTAGTAGGAAGTCCGCACCAAGATCTAAGTCTAAGAAATAGGCAGTGCAAATTACCTCACCAAAACCGGAAAGTAATTCCAAACTTCAGTCACCTCATCATCCAACTGCCTCACCCCATCAACTGATTGGTACCCAGCGTTCGATGGGCTAGTTGGTGTATTTCAACGGCTAGGGTGCCGGTTTGGTTGGAATCAACTCAACCAGTATGCGGTTGACATCCGCGTTCCAGCCTGCCTATTTCAGTCCCCCCCCCCCCCCCCCCCCCCCCATATGAAAAACTAGAGTTCACCAGTACAATCTGAGAGATAAAACCAGTCAGCATAGCCAGTCTATCCTCCTTTCATTTGAGGGATACATACATGTACCTAGTACCACCTCGCCCTTGCCCTCTCCCTATCATGGCAGGCCCAGCGTCCTAGCTTTTGATAGGTGTAAAAGAACTCAAGATTATCATCGAAGCCCGTCGGTGGCTCAGAGAAGCTAGATGAAGATCCACATCCATGTCATTGCCTATAAGCGTCCACGCCCCCCCCCCCCCCTGGGCTCGATGTGTCTCCCAGCCACGAATACTGAGTATAGTTGAGATCACCTAGTCCCAGAAGTTGAGTGTGGTGGCCTAACCACTAAAGGTTTAGGTTAGATTTTGTTAGTTCCCACACTAGTTAGACACAGAATATCACTCGGACCTCGTATTTCACAGGATCCTAGTCCCTGCACATACAGCGGGTGTTGGCGTGAGGCTGTGTATGTACGTACATATTGTCAAACCTTGGTATAATGGTAGCCGCACAATCGTGAAGCCGCGGGTCAATGATCTGTGGATAACGTCTTGGCACTAGGAGCCGCGCGCGTCGTTGTGATCTCACCTCATGCTCAGCCTTCTTGTTTTTTATGTCGTGAGAAGTGCAAAAGGGACCCTTCTCAGCTTTAGATCATTTTTTGTTTCTTGCTCATCTACCATATTCATATGACCATCACGTTGGAAGCTCTTCGATGCGAATAGACAGGTACGTAGATGTAGCTATCTCACACACACCGTCGAAGAAACAAGCCCTCTAGCTACCAATACTAACTCCCTCTAATCTATCGGTGCAGAGATCCCAGAGATCCCATAGCAATACTCTCTAGCACAGTAAGTCTGTCTTCCCTCAATGTGCGTAATATCTGTGTTCGTCCTTCACATTAATACAAACGACTGACTCTCAATAGATGAACAACGGCACATATATATCTACAAAAATAGTATAGGACTTCTTCCGGGGTAAAGTTATCGAAAAACAATCCTTCGTCTTGGAATCCGACATGAGTTACCTCAAGGTAACAAGAGTAGGGCGATGATGGGGTGGACGCTGTGTTTGCAAGCCTAGATTCACACCAGTTATGATGAGCCCTACACGCTTGGGTTATGTTTGATGGTCATCGCGCGAGACACTATCTATCACTCGGCGCATTACACTACGCAAACACGATATGCAGCACGTCCCATACGCCAACGGGCACACGACTAGAGTATGACGGGCTATGGCAGTGGCCTTGGAGTTGTCAACGCGAGCCTGACGAAAAAACCACAACTTGGCATTAAAACAGGCGAGGGGCAACTCTACTAAGCCTCCGTCCAGTTAGTAACTAACAAAAGTTAGTGCCTTCTAGGCGGAGGTCAACGACTTTGTTCATCCCTGCCTGTAAAAATGTGGCTGCATCAGACATCTCATATCACTCCCAGTCTATTTCTTGGACATTAGATGGTTGGCCAAGCAAAAAGCCACAGCGTCCCTTGGCTGCAGCTCTCCTTCATATCAAGTTATCAACTGCTTTAAGGCTGGTAGTACAGTGTTACACATACCTCTGCTCCCTGGTAGGTGCGTCTGTGCAATCAAGTTATTTGTCCAGAGTATTACAGCCAATGCTCAGCTTTTCTGACCTCTGTCTAGAAAATCTGCCTCGCATATTCTTTACGGTAAAATACTACGATTGTACGGACGTTTCTTCTGTGTATCTAGAATGTCACGCCTGGGTGAATACCACAGCGGGCAAGACCTTGAATCTCCGAAACCACCAGAGTCATAAAGATGCCGAGAACAGTGGACATAATTGACTTGCTCTACACAGCACGCGTACGAATAGGAAGCAAGTAGGTCGCAGGTAGAATCGAATGTTATAAGGTTAGAGCTCGAGGGTCGCAGTCATTAACTAGAGGTTCAATAAAATCTCTTAAAGCTGTATCTGTGGTAAATGGCATATTTTGTCTGCTGCGGTGTTTATTTGTATAGGCATGTATATATATATATCTATATATCGTCGGCTGCGTCCCTCCAATATACCCAGATTCAAATACAGAAGCATAGCTATCCCAAAGAATGTGACTTCTGCAATCGCCGATACACCCAAGGTCTACATCCCAAGAGTTATGACAATCTCGGCATACCAAATCTCGAATAGACGCCTCCACAAACTCCCCTATAGATCACCATTAAGATAATTCTAAGCTTCAATCCCCTAAGCCAGCTGTCTCTCTGTGCCATTGATCGACAGATGTAATAGCATAATTACTATAATATTGATAATCAGAACTATTGTCGCGAGCACTGTGGTTAGGACGTCAGTTATCAGCGGCCTCGAATTGTCTTGGACTTTCGAGTATTTTATCAGTGTCAGTGGGGATCTGTCCCATATTTCTCGTGCCCCATAGCTCCTTTATCAGCAGCCAGGACCGGGGAAAAGCTCCTCGTGTTTGATGTCCATTAGCGTACGACCAGGCATTCTCTCCCCCCTCATTCCCTCTCGTATGTCCTCCGTACACATCAGGTATGGAATCGATCCGTTGTCCACTCTAATTCTGTTTGAATCAAAAAGAAAAAAACTCATAGCGTAGTTTGTCCCAAAGTCTCCATTAGTCAGAGATTTTATGAGTTGTCGAGCACCCCGTCAATGTCAGGAGCACTCTGTTCCCACAAAAAGGTGTCAGAATAAAATCTTGTACTAACCACAGTGCTCGTGGCAGTATCAATGTTTTCTTACTTGCCTCGACGGAACGTGTCTCCCACTTCGATAATCCATGCAGGAGAATGATAAATGCAATTCCTTTTTATAGAGATAGGTGATTCTTTTGCTTTGCGTTTAAGTTAGATCCCGAGGTTCATGGTGATATTCAGATATAAAATATCACTCGGTTTACACCCCAAGACGGCGCAACCCTATGTCCTAGCTATGTTTTTCTTGTTGATGGTGGTCCGGTGCCGTAAAGGCTGGGTAAAAAACATCCGTCCCAGTTCATACTTTTCTCGTCTTTTTTTTCGTGATTATTGGGCTAGTGATGAGCACGAGCTGAGCAGCCTTGAGCTTTGAGCTCGATCTCTAGGCTCGAACAAGCCGAACTCTCCTACTAACGGGCTTAAGGAAGCTCGAGCCCATGTCCAAAAGTTCGAGCCTAGGCCTCAACCTGGTAATGTTAGTAATGATTCGAGAAAGACATAGCGGGTGACTTATATGAAAATATATCTCCCATTATTCATCCTCAATAGAAATTCTATATTCCGACTTACTTGGAAGGTTCAAGCTTAGGCTCAAGCCTAGCTTCAGGGCTCGAACACCTCGACCCTTTGTCTCCACAATCCGGGATTTCTCGAGCTCTACCCCTGACCCGTCTCGAGCTGGCTCGTACCCACAACTAATTATCCTCTACGGGTCTTCTCGAAAGCCCTCTGCGAGTCCATCAGTGACAATTTCGATGGATAGGCTCATGTCTATCCCAAAAATAGGTAGAGAGGAATAGCCCGAACAAGACCACCAGCTGGTCGTCCTCAGTCAGACCCATTCGTCTCCCAGAGCCCAAATGTCCAAGGAGTCTATACCTAAAGCTCATATATCCTCACTCAGCCAGTCGATAGTTCTTAATCAAATGAAAGGAAAATGTTCCCCACCTTGACTCTTAAGACAAACATCACCGAGTACTCCATCGGAAAACGGTAGACAAAGAAATGGAGTGGTGTCCCGGGGGTTCTACTACCGAATTTAATTTGTCAGCCGGGCGTCGAGGCTTTCATACTCCTGCCTCTGACGTTGCCACATGTTCACCTGCTTCCTGAAGGCTGCAATTCTTTTGACCAGGGTGGAGTACGATCATGTGGTATTAGCACCAGCACAGAGAGGAATAAGAGTTCGAGATGAAATTATTGTGAGGTCTGTCGGTCTGACCTATGGTTGTGGTTAATTTATGCCATCCTTGTCTGTCTAGCAGCATACATAGAAACATACCAAAATTGATGACCCCGCACTAGTTCGACACCATCCATCACTCGCACGCACCCCACATTCCACCAGGGCTTGGCGCCCAACCATTAAAGCTGCAAGATATCTCCCGCGATATCGACGGCAGAATATTTCATGCAAAAGTTTATTGGTTCGCAAAAACCACAGTCGTTGTGAGCTACGTCATGCCCAGACCTCCTGCCATTGGCCGGTTCAGCATAGGATTAAGGGCAAAAAGTTTGGCGGGTTTTTTGCCCTTTCTTCCTGTATTCATCTGCAATTATTATTGATCAGTCCGTCAGTGAAAGATAAAGAACACCTATGCATTGCAGCTGCATTTTTGAATATGCAAATGCTGGACGTTGCAACTCACTGGAATCGCCCGAGGATATCAATGCAGTCTGCATGTTCTGTGTGGGGGCCAGTGTTCGTCTTGTGAGACCTGATCGAAGACCACTCGCTTGCTGGCTTGCTGGCCTGGTGCTCTTATCTGGAGGCGCTGGGTGTGGGTGCTGATGTTGATGCGGATGCGATGGGACGGGAGTGAGATGGGATGTTGTCTCGGTGTTAACGCTAGTTGGACACAAGAAATCACTCGGGTCTCGGGCAGCGTCGAATGAGCGCGTTTCCCAAACACCACACGTTAGTAGCATGCGTTCACAGCTTCAAAGTTCCCCTCAGTACCCCCGATATAATTTATACACACAGAGGATAAACGCACTACAGGTACCGAACTATTCCTTAAACCGTCAGTTAAATAATGAGCCCAGAGAAAAGCAAATTTAGTGTGGTTTTACTAACAGATCTTCTTGACCTAGCTTCTTATCAAATAACAGATATATCTCCCACATAAATAATCCCTATATCACCAGGGTCAGCAACTGACGGAGCAAGGGATAATATTTTCTGGGCGTGCCATAACGATAGAATTCATCAATAATGCACCATTCACCGCGAAAATACCACTTAGAGCTACTAGAACATTTAAACCCGTGGCCAACATAAAATATGCTCCCCTTCATCGAACTTTAGACCAAAGCCACCCTCTATAGCCATCTTAACCCACAAAAAAAAAGAAAAGCTCGCCATTATATCCTCTCTGACAGTTTTCACCAGTGGTTCTCTCTATCACTCACTACCTAGGCCTACGTTCCCGTCAATCGACCGCCCCCATGGATTAAAAGATCTATGTATCCCCCCCTCATGGACCACGCCAGTAGAAACAGTGCTGAGTCAATATCATTACGGCCTACTGATGGGAAGTTTTGTCTCGTATCCTCAGCACCCAGGTCTCGTCTTTTTCTTCCCAAGGCCCCAAGACTTAGTCTAGAGAATTACCTCGTGCCTATCACTATCATTACCTCCCCTCAACCCTCAATGTGAAACACCAGTAGACCTTGCCACCTACCTCTTTTCTATCCAATCATTCATCTCGAGAAAACGTTGTAAAGATGACCAGCAGCCCCAATTCCACCATCCCTTCTATTCACGACCTCGCCGCGGCCTACACGTACAGTAACTTTGATCGTCTCCACCATTCTACAGGCAATACTGGGAAATAGCATCGGCGCAGTCGAACTTCAATCAATCTGAGTGGGGTGGTTAAGATAGTAAGGTGCACTGTTCAGATATGCTACCGTTACCATAGATACTAGGATCGACCAGGCCAGACACACCCTGTCACTCGGGACCTCTAGTTTGCTACATTGCGCACCTCTACTCTAGCTACTACGCAGTTCAACTCTAGCCCCAACCAAAATCAACAAGCCACTACGTAACTCAACTCTAGCCACTACGAATCTCTACTAGCCACAACGCACACTTTGCCTGCATGGGCTAGCTTTTGTCGATCAGTGCTTGCCTGAAATACCAACTCCCCAACAATCAGTCTATTTGGCCTGATAGTGGGGGGATGAACAAATTCACAAAAAACAAGAATTTCTAGCTCAGTCATGTATTTATTTTTATCTACCACCCAAGAACCGCATTACAAAGAAAAAAAAAAGATTATCCCGTGCACCGTCTAGCTCCCCGAGCAGACAAGTGTGGGTAATAAAAGAGTGTAGAAAAAGAAAAAAATGAGCGTCCATCATTAAAGTCATGACAACATAAAACCAACATGCTCGATGCTATACCTGCTTGTTGAGCAGACAGTCGAATGCATTGCCAAATGGGCACTTCCCATCCTTATACTCATAGCAATCCACACCATCCGCCTTACGGTACCGACACGGCGGGCATGACCCCCCAGTACACGCCGCAGAGCTCATTCCTCCTCTCCTGCATGGTGTCGAAGAACACATGTCTGCTGCACCCCCATCTCCACCACTACCACCGCTTCCCGCCGAAGGCCCTTGATGACCTGACCCTTCTACCATGACGTCGAAGCATGTCGTGTACGTATTCACCCATTCGTTGTTGTAATCCGTCTCCTTCCATCCAGGTCCATTATTCAGAAATCCCCGCTCGCCAGCCCATGCAAACACCATCATATGCCGTCCATTCTCCATGTCGGCCGGCAGCGTAAATTGCATGTAGTTGGCGATATCGTCTGGCCTCCCGTCAGGTAGTCTCCTCCAGATTGAATTTCCCGAGAAATTGGCTTGTGCACCAGGCAGCCAGTTGGCACCCGTCAGCTCGCTCTTTGAGGTAATTTCCTGTTCCTTAGCTCCCTTCCAGTATATACGGACGAGACCAGGGTCCTTGTTAGGAGGGAGCCCGTAGGGGTAACTGCTGTGTCCATTTCCCCAGAACCGCATCATGAGGGTCGCTCCTGGCTTAGCGGTGGTCATCGGCTTTCCTGGAGGATACTGGTTGGTTTGTGTTGGATTGCAAGCAAGTCCATTGGGATTGGTGTCTGGGTGGTTCAAATTCCAAGAATAAAAGGTAGATTCATCAATCCAATTGCCATCCAAGGCTTTGTTTCTGGGGTAACCAGAGCAGACATTGTTGGGGAGAACGGTCCCAGGAGAGGAACGAGCAGCATCGAGATTTGGGACTGTGGTAGAAACACATTCGATCCAAGTGTGAGCAGCAGCAGGAGCTGTGAGTGCTGCCAACCCAAGGCCAAGAAGCTGAAGTAGCTGCATCTTGAGTTTTGAGGAGATGGAAAGATGTTTGATGATGAGCTTCTAACTAGAGGCGAGATGTGAGGAGAAGAGATGAATTGCAAGAGCCCACCGGGGGAGAAGCAGAGATAAGTAGTCTCAGTGACAGCAGCAGGAGTAGCAGCAGTGTCAGAGAATGGCTGTCTGAGGGTGAATACAATAGGTGGATCTGACGAGAATAGAAGGATTTAGCTAACTGAGCGGTGTTTTAATGCAGGTCCAGTTCAGTAGCTTGGAGGTACGTTCGAGTGGAGGAGAGAAGAGAGCTCTACAGAACAGATTTGTGGAAATTAAGCGGGATGTGTCACCTTCCTATAGGCATCAATTTATCTGCCCTATAGACGCCAGCTGTCCAAGACACTGGGGCGCAGAAATAGATTGATAGACCCACTAGCGCAATATCATTCAGGTACTCGCCGGATAGAACAGGAACATTCTTCTCACCATTGTTTCTTGAGACGCGCGCCCAACTAAGTAGGTATTCACAGCTAACTTCTTCCAAGATGAGCTCATACACTCATTATGTGTATCTACAGAATGAAGAGGCTCATCTCAGATAGCGCGCGGTGTAGATACCCTCCCCACGTACTCCCAAAGATGCCTCACTGATAATTCTCAATTTTCGATGAGGGTAGACCCTCCTCTCTCCACCCCCTCCACTTTCTCCTCCTCATATGCACCAGTGCCGTATTCAGAGACAAACAGAATGCACATAGAACGAATAGCTGCTCTCGTGGCTTTGTGCTTCTCGTCCTCAACTCACCACGTATTCCATCCCTCACTAGAGTATGTACATACATGGTATCTGTCTATCTCTCGCTTGAGGAAGAGGCGTGCGCACATACCCACAGTATGCAGCCTACTCAGCTCGTTTGTTCTTTCTCCCCTTCTTTCGCTCATCTGCTGTACTCTACCTATGAACGAAAAGACGTGGCTACCCGCACACCCACAGGCAGCCACACAAACAGACAGATAGGGCTAGGAACCGTCATCGATAAGGATGCTTTTTCATGCGGCAGATTCTCCCATAGACATTCCCGGCCGGAAACATTATCCCCAATTTGGCCTCGCCGCCGCACAGCAGCAGGTGTTAACCACTCACATCAGATCGGAGCAGGGTTTCGTTTTGTTTCGCGGTAAAAACTTTATTCAGGTACCACGCAATGACGTGCAGACGGAAAAACAGCGGTGGGGAAACGGGGAGAGGTGGCAATAAAGACGAGGGGGGGGGAAAGCCCCCACCTACCGAGCGAGCCGAATGCTTAGTGGGATTTGTAGATAGAGTGTACATTGTATAATCGATGAGTATAATACTCGAGACCTTGGGAATGTCATGGAAGGTGGTGCTCTAATTCTCGTACCTACATGTATGTACGTACCTGTTCCTGGCTGTTGACATGACCCTATTCAGGTACAGGAACAGCTGTTGTGGTTCCTGCAGCCGCCTGCTGTTGCCCTGATCCATGTTCATGGGCCGCGTTTGGAGTTTCAAGCTCGATTATAGGTTGCCAGGCCAGCCAGTCGCTGTAGCTGTGCTTGTAGCTTCTTCTTCTTTCATCCTCAGCCGCAAAATAGAATTGCCATCGAGCAGCCGATTAGTTGAGAGTGCTTTAGAACCCAGCCGCTGTGCCGTGCTCAAGTCCGCTTTTGTCCCAGCTGCTTCCATCATGCGTCGAGTTGTTTAGAGTTGTATTTTGGGCTTGCCTCGTTTCGGCCTGTTGCCAAGAGGGGGGGATTAAAAATAGCGCTAGTAGTACGAAAGACGATCAATTAGTAGGGCGTCTTGGCGGAGTGAGCCCTGTAATCGACGATAAGATAGCTGAGGTGATCTAGGGATGATGACTAGACCACAGAGAATATCCATGAGCCAGTCCTTTACATACCAATCACGCCTTTTCTTACGTTTCTAGAATCACCCCGGCCCCCGCAGTACTTTAATTTAAGCGTACCTACATAGACGAATCTAAAGCTTAGGTCTGCCCCATGCCACTAGCACTGCAACCCCCACCCTCTATCTCTAGCGACTCCTGGAGCAGACACTGACACCTATCGATCTCTTATATCACCTACCTTCGAAATCTCCCCGTACTCTGCAGCTGGCCGAGATGCTCGCACAACCGAAAGCACCCGACGGGCTCAACTCTATTCGCCCGGGAGAGAATTGCAGGAACTAAAAAAAGGGGGACGTGGATATCCATTCAGACAACGCTCCACACCATCATCTCTTCCAACATCATGCTCCAACATGCCATGACTCCCCAACTTACTTTTTTCCAGCCTTATCGGAGGATATGTGGCAGTGGGAAGCCCCAGAGCTCAGATGGACTGGGTTCTTTCTGGCCTTGTGGATCCTTCAGGATTTTGTTATATGTATGTAGCATTCCTGCTAGGCATATAGCTTGGCAGCATTTGGCGAGTTTACATGTGGGCTCTACCAGCGGGTACTTACTATGTACTTAGCCGCATGTATCTTCCTCGACACGTTGCCGGGCTGGAGTCATAACCCAGCTGCCGGAGAACCGAGAGCAGGGGTTCCCGACGTTGTGAGGTCAGATGGCGGCGTGGATACCATATGTCGATGGATAGGTATGGATCGACGTCTAGCCTACCATGCCTGGTCCCCCACTACATATTCTAGATGACATGACCGTTATCTATATCACGATAGCAATATATCCTACTACTCATCACCACCGCCACAGAAGGCCACAACTTGGCCTGCGCAGTGAGCGTTGCCACACAATGATATCATGATACAAGGGCCTGAGGGATCCGGAGAAAGAAAGTTCAGTAGCAAGTAGCAAGGCTGTGGCAGTGAGGGTTAGGCTTTGGTCGCCTAGATATACCTGTGTGGCCTCGGCACCGGATAAGTCTAGTCATGAGTCAATGATCTTAGGATAGGTTTAGGTATTCTCGGCGAGTGGGGATATTCTTCGGTCGATATATATCGGCTTGCCCATGGATGCTATTAGTTATTACGACACCTTCTTTTTTTTATATAATTGAGAAAATATGGTTGTATCAAGCTTTTAACTTGGGGCTTGGTCGCTCTTCCGGAGTATGGAGACAGGGTTGAAGGTTGATGGACAGGGCTATTTTCATGATTGCCTTTCTTGAACGATCGACAGAATACGCAGGGATATTGTGACAACTAAATGACCTTAATGAAGGGTCTTATGGCAGTGTTATTGTCGGCAATATTGAGTTTGATAGCGTTCAATATAAGAAGTCACATCATAAACCACCGAGATGGTTTATTAAAAGGACATCTAATTATAAATAAAACCACGATTATTCTCAAATTATATGATCGATAATAATTACAGAACTCCTAACTCAAAATCTGTGTAACACCTTTCAAAAATCGTATCCCACTGGCGTTTTCAATGTTTTAGCACATGTTCTTCCACGGATCTAGTCTGTAAATTAAAGAACATTAACATACCACAAAACCCTCCCTAAATCCTTCCGCTACTAATCATATTTGATTTCCTTTCTTCCCATATAACTCAGCCATTTTAAAAACGCCCTTGGTAATTTCGAGCCGTATCGGCTGCTAAAAAAATATTGAAGTGAATCATGGCATTATAGTATGTATTGCCAGGTTACAAAAATAACTACGCACCCCGCATAGCAACCAGACACGATTCTCAATCCGTTTCATTCCGGCCATGGACAAGAGTACTACATATAGTTCTCTAACTCTCTAGATTCATAGATATAGAATCATCTTTCTCATATCTATTGTGACTGTCGAAATATACCTACTCTGACGGTTGGTGGTTGTCGTTGGTGCGTAGTTATTATTGTAACCCGACAATACCATCCAACCGCAACTTTATAACATTTCCCTTTTCTTTCCCTCCTTATCTATCTGATGAGGTCTTCGGGTCTCATTCTTTTAAAGAAAGCAAATCTTTTATTAGTTTTGCGCAATACTTAAGACTAAGGTCAAGTTTGCTAGCAGAAATAACAGATCAATTAATTTTTTTTTCGTTTTATTTCCGTTGTTATCCTTATTCATTCGTTCATGTTCCTCCTATTCTTCGTATTCTTCCTGTATTCATCCTGTGATATAGTATACTAGGCGCTCGATATACACACTGGAGAGGTGCTGCATGGCGCATGAACACATTAACTGGGCTAGTAAAATACATCACCTCCCAACACAAGAATGCTCCTAGGTTGCTTTGAAAGTGTCCCACCCCGAGTTGCCCAAGTTTAACCTCTCCTTCATTCACTATAATTCAATGGTGACGGTGCCGACTAGGCCGATTACCTGTAGCCCCAGGGCTATTTGAAAACGAAGGTCTTTGATATATCCCTCCCTACACCCTGCTATCCTATGTGAAATATCCTCATAAAGAACGAGAAGAGACCGAAAGGGAGGTGTGAATAGTACCTAGAACGACCACATGAGTAATTTATGGGGTCTATGAGGTGAAAAAACACCAAAGTTGGTGTTTTCGGGTAAAACACACCTTGTCATACAAGATTTCCGGCAAGTTATTGAAACCTGAAAAAAGCTACCTATTTTATAACTCTGCTAAATATTATTTTGTTTCATTTGTTTTCGTATCGGACGATGAATAAATAGATCAGGCGGATTCGGTCTCCTAAGATGTATCGAATATGTTGATTAACTGATAATTCATTTACTAGAGCATGGGGGCTATGGCAATATTCTACAAAGATATATCAACTTCCAATCAGAGTGAGATCCTAGGTATTGTTTTTTACCAGACTTACATACTCAAAGGCGGATGTCCCCAATATCTTTTTGAGTTATCTGAACTTTTGTGAGTTTCAGACCTCGAAATAATTTCTGGTCACATTTGCTTTCCTGGGCGTTGAAGGACGGATAATATATGATCCAATACGGCAGCAACATATGCGTGATATTATAATTTAGGATAAGCTGACAATTGAACCAAGATATTCATCGATGTATGCGCATATTGCGAGAATAGTAGATGGCTATATAAAGCTGGCCGAGCGTAGTTTCTTTTCCCTAATTGAAATGGTCAATGGAGATTTTGAATACTGGGCTTTATCGACTTCCCCACTTACAGAGGGTTTCTCTGTGTAAGTTTGGAGTTCTTGCCTTGAAAGCCCCCTTTTTAGCGTAGTGTGAGCGATGTTTGCTTATTCGGTTTCTCTAATAACTAATTCCGTCGCCGTCGATAGGGGAGTACAATTGACAAGCTTAGTCAATTTCCGTCCTGATCACGATGTAGAGTTTCATTTACTGCACAAAGCTACAATTTGTCAGATATCCCCTCAATCAAAACACTAGCTCAGGACTCACCCAAGCGTTCCAGCCGTGGATGGCTTGGCACACAGCCACTCACTCGATCCGGCCTCAGACGGGCTTTGTCCCAAAATGTCTTACAACGAATACACCATAAGTGGCACTCGAGGTGAGGTCAGGTCTAGGCTTGTCTGTGGTGGTTGCTATGAAACCATGGTCTGGAGCAGTACGGGACCATCACTACAATCCGGATAGAAATTAGATGTTTAGCAAAGTACATTATGCCAAAGGAAGATTTCTTACTAGTGATACGGGACCTCCGCGATGGATGAATGTTCTGTTGCTGGTAATGCCCGATGTTTCGTGATATTGCGCATCATGCAGAAAGATTATGATGTGTTTGACGCGTTTCGGGAAGCCTGCGAAAAGAGTGTTGACAGTCTTTGATCCGTGTATGGGGCGAGGCGCTATAAATATTAGGCAGCGATTCCACTTCTCCCCTTGTCGGGCGCGATGATATCATCCTTTGTGCTTAAGAATTTAACCTCAACACTCCACGACAGTAATCAAACTGACAGAAATGAATAGAAGAAGAACCCACAGCAGTTGTATGTAGCTCTATTGACCAAGTCGATCGTCTCAAACTATAACTATAGTTATGTTGAGTGCGTGATACAACTACATGTGGTAGGTAAATGCTACGCATACGCGTAGTTTATGTACTCATATCTATCCCGAGTACCCACCTACAGCTCGATACAAGACGACATCAAATACTGAGACCCGTTCCTGGTGTATGTCAGAACTGAAGCAAGGATATTGTGTATGACCGTTTCCGACACTTCATCAATAAGAACACAAGCGACTACTACCGAACCCCAAGAGATAAAAAGAAATGCATAAACCGCTGATGCCTACGGGCCGCGTTCATCACCACTTCCCAAAACCAAGTCATCGGGATAAAACAAAAATGCTTACTTGCCTATGTACATGCACGTATTACAGACTCCTTTTCTTTGTGTTCCCCCTCCCCCTTTTCGAACTTGCTAAAAATGCGCTGCAGGAGAAATATTGCACTTCCGTGTATTTATGGCACAATGGGCCTGTACTAGGCTTTTGAGTGGGCGCGTTTCTCTCAAATTGTAGGATTTTCAACCGTGGTGGTCAAGGGCTGAGACTGTGAAATGGTGGCGTTTGTTTGCTCTTTCTTCCCGATTTCGTTGCATCAGGGCACGTTCATAGGTAATCAAGTACCACGGAACACTACGTGCAAAATATTTGCACTTTATCAAGATACGGTTCGCCCCCTTTCCCATTTCTCCCCCCTTGGTATATATTCATGCCAGAAGACATTGAATCACAAATAGTCACTCGTTGACACAATGGGGGCTGGCATGCCAAGAGAAACAAGCATTTTCACCTCGCTTATAAACTACGAACCAGTTGCTCAGGGCAAGGATTATTTGTATGGAGTGGCGGTGATCTCTCATACAAACTATCCCTGTTTCCGTCACTTGCATTTTCTGGTTCTTTTCGTAAAGGAGGTGCGCACTAGCTACATGTGCATGTGGTTCACTGGCTGCTCTTATTTACGCAGGACACAGGCCGGGGGTGCCAGGTCTACTCCACTCCGAGTACACGTAGGTAATTGGTTTACTCCACGGGCCTCAGATAGGCCTTCAGCCTTGCTTTCAACCTCGTCAAACCTCATTTTCTTGACGGTACACATGATAGTCACACCACTCGGCGACTTAGAGCAGAGTAGATACCCACTCAAGCATCGATTTTACATAATCTACCACCAGTGCGATTGAGACGGTACTTACATATATGTATGTGATTAAGCAGAGTAGACCGACAACTCTCTACATGTATTTCTCCTGCTAACTTCTAAGCTTGGCAATATCATAAATCCATGTAACCCACCAACCACGACGATACTTTTTCTGAATGTGGAGCCTTGTGTAACCACACAACCATGCAACCACTACGGAGAATTCCGAATGCAGTGGGTATCACGCAGAGGTCTGTGCAAGAAGCAGACTGTGGTTAAGCTTCAGAGGTACGTACGTTGGGAGGTGGGGAAAGGTTGACGATAAGAGGCTGTGTCTGTGCATGAGAGCATACGAACCTACAGTTCCACTCAACTTTAGAGTGAGGATGGTGAACAAAGACGACGTTCATTGCTAGATTCCCGATGTAGGTATAAATTCCAGATTACCTGCAGCTATCCAATTATCCTACGATAACCGAAATTGTAGGAAGGCTACCTATCATCCATCTGGTCTTCAAGATGTGGAGACGATTTATATCCAGGCCTCCTCAGAGAAAATTCTCGTATCACGTGGCTTAGAGACTCATAAATAGATTAATATCCTAGTAAAGGAAAATGCTCCGCAGCGCAGCAGGTAACGCCGTTTGAGTACTCTACAAGTCTAGATAAATACATGAAGTATTCGCAAGCTTTATGTTACCACCTCCGACTCGAACAGTGTTACAGATTTTCCGATGTGCCGCTGCATGTCACCAAAAGAGGGGCAGGGTTTGGGGTTTGAGGTCCCCAACAAGGATTGCCAAAAATTTCTTCTTCAGTGAAGATTAATATGGGATGATCGTGGTTATGAATCAGGGGACGAGATTCCAGGGTGCACACCGTTTGTTGGTAAAGAGCTACATGTATGTACTCTAGATATGGGTAGTACTCTCGACCTGCTATGTGATGGAAGTGCGATTGCGGGTTGCAAGTTGATTTTCAGGTGCAGTTATGAGGTAGGTACATGTACTGTACTCTATGTAAAAGGCTTGAAATAGAATATTCTCAACGTTCAACTTTGTCATATTTTATCGTTCTGGCGTTGCTTTTACATACGTTGTGTTTGTGTGACAGGCGCCTGCAGGTCGCATTTAACTCAGCCCTCGCATCCGCCGCCCAAACTGGCGACTCTCGCTTCCTCTGTGGGCTATGATTGGGCAGTGTTATCGGTTTGTGCTACGTAAAGTGGAGACACTGATGTTGTACACATTCGGCGTTCTCAAGTCTCATGTATTCCCACCACTATTTCCCATTCCCTCGTTTCTTTTGCATCTCCTACATAAGTATAAGAACCGGCCCACCACCTTAAGCTTCTGTTCTTTTGCTTGTGTGGTAACCAGTCAGCTAGTCAACTTCATCATCATCCAATATAAGAAACAAAACCCACAACTTCAAAATGATGAAAGATACCCGCTGGCCAGAAATTCCACTACTCGCCCTACGAGGTGTTCAGTTGCTCCTTGGCCTCTTATGTCTCAGTATGGCAGGCAACCTCATTGATACCTACAGTGCTCGGTCATTCTGGTATGCACTCACTCAACACCTTCCCTCTATATCAACCAGTACTAACATGGATGACACAGGGAATTCAACATTGTCCTTGTTTGTGGCCTCTTCTCTATGCTGTACGCAGCAATCAACTTTGGGCTCTTCTATATCAACTTGCTTCTGCCGTTGGCAATTGTCATCACCGATGCGTTCTTGGTGGTTCTATGGCTCGTGGCGGTGGCCGGATTGGGAGACTTTGAGTCGAGGAACGGCATCTTCGATGAGAACTGCAGCGCCTATGCTAGCTCTAGGCTGAGGAACACGTGCAACGTGATTAAAGCTGCATGGGTATTTGCTTTCTTCAGCTTGTAAGTTTTGTGCTCCTTCGCGAGGACCTTAACTAGTGGTACTGGGATCTATTGGGGTTTGTGATAATTCGATATCAAATCCCCAAGATATCTCCGTATCACCAAAAGGATCCATAATCCCCATCTTGAACTCAGGCTAACGAACCTCCAATAGCCTCGTCTTCTGTGCCACCACCGCGCTCGCATCCTACGTTCTCCACAAAAACCGCAAAGATCTTCGCGGCGCAAAATACAACAGCGGCATGGACCCCAACGGCAATGAAATGGGGAACGGTCAAGCCGTGGCCCCAGTTCAAGAGCAGGTCTACCCAGAGCACAACCCCGTTGCCTACCCGCAACAGGTATATCAGCAGCAACAGCCTCAGGGAGTTCCTAACGAAGGCTACTATCCTCAGTCGCCTGAGCCAGTGATCTCGCCTCCGCAGACCCCCGCGCCAAACCCCCAACAGCAGTACGAACACCAGCAGCAGTATGCCGCGTCACCTCCGCCCCCACCCCCTGTTAACGCACAAGAGATGCCAACGACGTATCGTTAAACGGTGTCGATTTTTTTCTTCTTCTGTTTATGTTTATTTCCTTTATTGGTCTGGCTTTATCATGGGGAAATATCACGGGTGTGATGTTTTTATTTGTAATACTCTTGGTGCACTGGAAATGCAATGTTGAATACGTGGGATGGGAATAAATAAGGGATCAGCCTTTAACTTTTTTGCGATATTACTATTTTAATATTTCGAATTTCACGCTATAATGATTGACTGAGATCTACTACGACATCAGTGGTTTTGGTTGGTGATAGTGGCCGTTGTTTTATTATTTTCTAGCATGGGCACATTTAATACTGGGCTTCATCTAGTTCACGTCATTGGTTATCCGAAAATACCTACTCATCACGAGGTTGACAGAGGTGGGGTTTGCATACGTACTTCAAACAAAGCAGTTTCATTCATTGGGGTAGAATATGACTCACTGCGATACCAACACAAAACCAAACCAATTAGAAGACTCAGCACAACTAAGCCTTTTGCTTCACTCCAATCCTGTTTTGTGTGACCATGGGTTCCCAGCGAGAATGGTTTAATTTAATTTAGGTACTCTATCTGCATAAGTTACCGAGGAGGATCACGATTATGGATATTTTATATTTGATGACGCTCTTTTGAGGATAAAATACTAGGTATGGCTCGAGAAGCTATGGTGGGTAAGTGTGTAAACTTCGGCGTTTGCAGCCAATCAATCTATAGAAATTGGGAGATCTACTCCCATAATGGTACTAGCGCCTAGCCCAATGGTGGAATTTTCTCTAATTCCCATACAAAAAAAGTTTCTCTGAAGTTGACACACCCACCCCCTATGCCTTCTCGCGCCATACTCTCCTCTGCACAGCTAGGGGTGGGAAACACCAGGGATAGATCGTAATTCGGACTTGCCGATACCTGCTCTAATATATTCCGAATCCCTACCCGTTAGACCCTACCATGGTGCGTATCAAGAGCCGAATTATCCTAACCTCACCTAACTGTCCTCGACGTAAGAATGTGGGGTACCTTGTTGGAGATAAGAGCCGAGTCGACTATTCGGAAGAGAACGAACGAAGGAAGGAAGATAGTCGCGAGGCAGTGCCGTTACTGTTCACAGTACCTACATGTAATGTCTTGTGGATCAATATGGGACTGAGCCGTGGATGCATGCATAAGTGCATTTTTTGGTTTATTTTTATGTTTCGATTCTGTTTGGTTGGTTGGCTGTGCACGTGGAGCTGTGCGAAGAGATTGGGCGTGACACAGCACAGGTATAGGAGGGACAAGGGAGCACAAACACGTACAAAGCAGTTACACGCCGCGATCAGAATCGGGATAGATTAAAGATCATCCTTCCTTTTCTTCGCCCCCTTCTAATTCTTCCGTCCGGTCCCCCCTTGCATGGACCTCCAATTGATGTCTTTGATTCCAGAGACAAGATTTCGAAGCGTCAATAAGGCACATTGCTGGTTTTCCAGAACACTTTAGTTTGGTCTTTGTGGTTATCGTTGCGCATGCAACTGGCTTCGACAATGCTGATGGCGCAGATGGTTACGTGTTATTTGGTTTACTAAGCTGGCGAGTTGTTAATTAGATTAGTGATCGTGAATCCGCTATCCGTTACATACGAGCTGTGAAATTGCCTGTAGTACGGTGGAGGCGTTATTCTTGCACAGTACTTGCTTACCAGCAAAAGAACCAGAAAGTGCGGTTGCTCAGGGCAAGGATAGTTTGTATGGAGTGGCGCCGTTCTCTCATATAAATAATCCCTGCTCCCGTCACTTGCATTTTCTGGTTCTTTTGCTGGTAAGCAAGTAAATCACTCACATCACTCACAATGGCTGTCACACATAGCGATTAAAGTGCACAATTGAAAGACGGATAATTTATATGCAGAAACTGCAACTCTGTACTCAATAATGGTTTCGGCCAGTTGTACAATAGGCTACATGTGTACTAGTACTAGCTAAGAGTCACCGTGTAATTTGAGGAGAAAGGTCGCACATAGCTTGTGTGCCCGCAAATTATAGGAGTAGAGACAGTGGTGTTACTTTTCAAGGGGTCACGGCTGAGCTCGGGGAGGAGCGGCTTATATTTGTCAATTAACGAGGAACCTCAAGGCGAGAGATTTGCGTATCTTGTTGTCTCAGCGTCTGGCTACCTCGAAATACCTCGAGTTGGTATATGTTACTTAGGTTTCAAAGTGTTTGGGTGTTTCCCGGGACTTCTGCGAAACGTTGAATTAAGAACGTATAGAAAACCGGGCAAAGAAGGAGTTTCTTTTGGTGAACGTTAACAGGTAGATAAGCGCAACCATAAAAACCAGGTGGGGGAGAAAACGACCATCCCTTCCAATCCTCCAGATTGGAATTAAGAAACTCAATTGATCAATCCAGGTCAATACAGATAGGGGTACCGGCTATAGTGTTCCGAGCTGTACCATCCTCGTGGGATCTCTCGAGGCATAACCCGAGGTGAGGCACGAAACACTGGACCACCGGCCTCGTGGATGAACTAGAAACATGAATGATTTATGAGAGGGATTGTGAGTATGTAGAAGACCAATGTTTCTTATAGGCACACACTTAAAGTTTAGTGGAGAACCAAAAAAAATGTTAAAGAACCAAAAGTTAAAAAACTTCATGATAAACCCCCGAAAGTCAAAATAAATAACGTATCAAATTTTGAAAGCCAAAGCGAATTATTCTTTCTCATACCTCCCACTTGCAACTATCCACCATGAAGCAATGAGAAAAGCTGTGCCCCATTTGCCAAGACAAATATAAGGGTCATTTTCGGGTAAATGATTCCTCGAGGTTTGTAGTGTCTAAATAGAGATCATAAACTATCACTCGATTTTGACATCCTAGTGCAATATGTTTCTAGCTTTTTATGGGTGAACAGATGACTAGTCTATTGAAATCTCCGGGAATTAGTAGACTACTGACTGGCTTGGTTTTAGGAAACCTCTGTACTTCTTTTACTAGTGTATCGTACGTCTGAGAAGTGCATCACAATATATCACTCGTATCACAATCATCGAAAGTGTTGACCGATTTTATTAATTTGTTCATAAGGCATTGATTAGGGCCGTGAAAAGTGTGAATAATTATAGTTAGTGTGGTCTATGTGAGAGAAGCTAGCTTGAGGCGATAAAAAAGAGAAAAACATCAACAAAACTAAGAAGGCCTCGGATTCTCGGATTTGAAACACTCTAATAGAGAGCAGGTACCAGGGCTGTTGGTCTAACTATTGGCTGGATCCTGGGCATATATCTCTCCTAGGGAAAAAAAACCACATACACGTAGCTTCTCCGGATCCCCGAGCTCTCCTCCCTAGTGTTTACAGTAGCTATATTCATTATATAATTCTAGGCTTCCCTACGAATGCGAATGTGGCAAAGGGGAGCAAAGTGTAACCCACATACTTACCGAATGTGATGCAATGGCCGAAACCCGTAAATCCTTTAAAGAGCATAATACGGTTGTCAAACTCCTTTGGAAGGCAAGTGGTATTGAAGCAGCTACAAAAATCTGGAAACAATTTGCCAAATGGAGACATGAAAGGAACAGACAAGACGAGAATGGAGAAGAGGAGAGAAGGGAACTGGGGTACGGGTGGGGGGCGCTGAAAGATGCGGGAAATGAGGAATAGAACGAGAAAAGAGTTCGGGGGCTTTTTCCTATGTCAGAAATATGTGAGAGGAGGCGGAGGAGAAGGGATAGTTCAGGGGTATTGCCATAACTGTAAAGTTGCATGCAATTAATGAATTAAACAAAAAAAAAAAAATCTAGGCTTCCCTAGTCTCAGTTTATGAGCCTCGGATAAGATTGAGTGTGAGTACGAGTGATTATTGGTGATCCAAATAGTATGCCCGTAGCTAGTTTGGAGGGATTGACGGCCTAGTGATAGGTAGGTACCATACTAGCTGCCTCAACGCCTGCCAAGAGGAGCATAGGACCAGACAATTAAGATGCATCGAGGACGTTATCTGCAGCCTTAGGATACGTTTTAGAAACTCACGAGTGATGGTAAATGATGTAAACTATTCCAAAACAGGCTTGACATGCATGTGGCTTTTGGTTAGCCATTGTTTTGCCGGAACATCCTTTCTTTCTTCATCGTATTGTCGGGTTCTAAAAATAGCCAATCACCCCACGACAGCGTCGAAATCCGCTTCAGGTCAGAATAACCCAGCAACCGGGAGAGCAATTGAATAATTTTAAGTCTCCTAAACGGAGTGAGTTGCCCGGAAAGAATGGACTTATCCTTCTGGCCTCGAAGGTCTCGATGTGAGGTTTCCTCGCAGGACAGTTTTGGTTGCTATGAGTGTCACGAGGTGCCAATGATCGGTTATCCCCGGAACCCGACAATAGAATGTATATAGGGGCGCCAATGAACATAGGTTCTTAACTTGATCCGAGTTTAGTTTAGTCCATGGCCGCCCAAGTCTCGAGGCTTAGTACCTCAGGCCTCGAAGCTTTGGATTTAATAATGTGATATGACGAGCTTGGAAGATGAGGCGAGACCTAGACTTAGGTTCAAATTGGTCTTGTATTAATGTCTCGTGACCATAACTATTGGGGGGCCCGGGGGGAGGGGTCAATAGTACTTATGAAATAAGAAACTGTCCATATGCATTGCTACTTGGCCTCAGGAGGTGGTCGGTCCCACGGGTTTGACCCCGTTTTTTCCAGGTCAGACTGTGAGCCGGTGTGACTTATTGAGAATACTGGTTCTTGGTTTTGAAAAAGGAATTTCGAGATGAAACAAAAAGCACTTCTTGCATATGTACTAGCTATAGATACTGCTAGGTACATACTACACTTCTCTACATTCATTGTCCCCGTGACGCGGGGGACTGGCCAGGCATCGATGGTTATGTATATGTAGATATTTGTTTTTTACGGCGCTCCACTACATACTAGCTCAGCTCATCCTAATTGAAATGTAATGAGATTTGCTGTAAACCTGCATTACGAAAACTTGAAACGAACGGGGCAGTGATGGAATGTGTCAATCACTGGGTAGAGAGCTCGGCATATCGAGTTTTGAAGACACAACGGGCCGAACTGATTACATCCCGGCTCTAGACACATCCCGAGTTTCCTCAAACCCATCATCTCATGTCAAGAATATACAGGACATGTAAAGATCCATAGGTATAACATTAGCTCCATTCCCGGAGAATTGAACTGCACAGAGGAGTTGTATGTCTGTAATGGTAGTCGCAGTGATGGTAGTACTGGAGGGGGGCAGAATAGGAGGCTCCGCCCCGCCCCGGGGGGGGGGGGGGGGGGCACGGTGCAAAACGTTCGGTAACTGAAGACGATCGCCTGTAAGATCACTCCAGATGAGAAATCTAAAAGAGTAATCTAGAAACAGAAGCTTCTGCTTCTCTATGTTTTGATATGTGCTGTCAAAAAAAGTAAATCGAGGTTGATCATGAAGTTGAAACCTCAAACCAGTTACCCCTCAATCCAGATCTATATGTAAGCTTTCATAGTTCTAAACAGAAAACTACCGAAGGGGGGCAACCCGAGTAAAATATTTAGCCTTCCGAAACACTGTTAATAATCTGACAGGTGACATGTGTTGATGTGATGCTGTACCAGGGGAGAAAGGTTCTCACCTCTTCAATATTATTTGCTGGTGGTGAGATTTGAAATTTTATATGAGTAAGAGATGATATTTAGGAATTAAACCTACGTGGCCCAGTAGCAGAACAAAAATACCGTATAGCTCTATCTTAAAACCCTCGGCGTTTTAGAATCCCCCCTTTTTTCTGTTTATCCCGCCGGGATCCCGATCAGCTTTTGGTACCATGACGCACCGTGCACCCCTGACGATATATTCAATAAACTAACTACCCCTCTAAGCTCCGCTCAGCGTGTACGAGGATCATTCCCGATAGATAGCTAGGTCATGAATACCCCGAGTCGCAATAATCAACTAGAAGGGACCATATCTGGCGTTCTCTTAATTAGAAACAGCTGAAGAAGAAATTTTTTCAAAACGTGCGATTGTGCACGCAAACCCTTGTATACGCAAACCCTTGTGTGTGCGCAACCAATCACCGGACTGCATGGATGCTCGGAACTAGCCCGAACCAATCACGTCGCCGAACCATCTGCGCACTTGCGGCCCTCATAATGAATGACACTTGCCATGAGTCCCCAAACCTTTACAAAGTTCACTTTTGAAAAAGCATAAAGAACGTCCCGATCGATCGGCTAATGAGCGACGTCAGAAGTTACGACCTTTTCAGCCTTCATAGTTTTTTGTTTTGTTCGGTGCCAACATAGCGTCCTGGATGTTCAAAACTCAACTGTTATGCTCATGATTCTGTTACAGCTTTGCGAACAAAATTTTGTGATGGTAGTTGCGCTTCGTAAACCAAACGGTCCCGGGGCTATGCAAAGACCATAAGCTCTTACCATTATACACCATTAGAAAGTTGACACAAATAATTCACATACGTACAACGCATATTCCGAGACGTAAGGATCTTATAAGGATTTTATAATTGATAACGACTTTCAATTTCAAGTGCTGACAAGAGCGTTATGACAAGAGCGTTATGACGTAATGGCCATCAGTTCGTTGTCATAATTTATTGGACCAAGGTCATCGATTATCACTCGCCCGTTTTTTGTAGGTACATGCGGGGGAGACTATCCTTGCAGGCTGCCATTGCTGGTGAAAAGTAACGCACCTGCTGGGGATGTAGTAGATGAGTAACTAAGTATCCAAACATTTAGTTGCAATTTATAAGAGGTACCTATATTGCTAGACGCCCCCAACTCATGACAGCAGGGATCGCACTTGACAGGCCAAAGCTGCAGGGGCGTCCGCCGGCAGGGCTGAATATCCAAGAACGCGAGACCAATTTATACACCAATAGTGACAGGTCCGCCCCCACCTCCAATCGTCTCTCTCTCTGCCCACAATCACATGCAGTATGACCCGCTTTTCCCAACAGGTTCTTCCCCACTTCATTTTCGAGAGGCTTTCTGCACGTCCATTGCGATCGCGTCGATAGCCGTATGTTGGTGAACCCACATGAACCTAGCTCAGTATCCATAGGATCCGGAATTCTTGAACAAATTAGGTATTTGCCTGTGGTACAGCCATACAAGAAGTTCGTTCCTACCTGCCACGTCGTAGTAGCACAAAGCTCTTCTCGCTGGCCGCAAGTGCGGATGTTTTCTGGGTCCATTCCATCTCTAGATCTTTGTTTTTGAGTAGACTATATATCGCTAATTTGAGTGGTTACCTCGATCCAGATCTAGAAGAGCAGTCAAAGAAGGAGGAAAGTGAAGAGAGAAAGTCAGGCACAGAAGGCGAGAAGACTAGATGAGATGACGTTTCGGTGAGACTTCTGGTTGACAGTTGATGTAGCGGTTGGCAGGGGCAGACATGTGGCGATGTCTCCCCACACACAACTATAATATACATATACATACATGTGCCCAAGCCTTTATTGTGTATGGTTCGCCTGCTCTACATAGTCGGTAAAAACTTCCTCGTGAAATATATGAACCATCAGGAGACACGTGACCTAGCGGGAAGCAGCAGCGTCCAATCTAAGTTGAGAATTCTGAGACCATACTTATATGGTCATATATTTGGGCAAACCATGTCTGCTTAATTTTTATAGGACTGGAGATAAGAAGATAAGAATTAGTAACTACATATATGCACAATCATACATGGTGAGAGTAGCACTAAACCGGGAAATAGTTCACTAATGACATCGTTCTGCATACATGTATACACATATATCTGAAACGGAGACTTGAAATCACGAGGAATAATTGGTTAATATATCTGCCCTGCATATCGGATTCGCCAGGAACATCTTGAGATTTACTTTTTTGTAGCCATCACCGAGGGAGCTGTCCATATGGTGTAGCCGTTGTGTTTTTTACTTTTACGCTCCATTCGATCGATCTGCCACGAGGAACCATAATGTACGTACATTAAGTGTGCTGCACCTGACTCAAGAATTCGGGAATAAGCGAATAGGTAGGATACACGACTCTATTATTAACCAGGGTAAGGGAAAGCACGCATGGTAGGTCACAAAGGTGGTGGGAGACGAGTAACGTTAGAATTAAAAATAGATGGCGATGTGGAACGAAAGTCTTTGCACCCTAGATCTTGGGGCTGGAAGCCCTCAGAGTCGTCGATAAAGAGATGCACATCATTGGGGAAAGATATAGACCACTCCGCAGGCCGCTTGATCTTGACTTTTGGAAATCCAATGCTTTATATACTCAAGGGGTATGGAAAAGGTATCCCCCACCTGGCTCGTATGTGGAGAACGCACTAGTTATGAAACTTCGTTACTTTTGACCTCGGAATTTCAATGGCACGGGTCTCTCGGTGATCTGGGACCGCATTATGCAAATGCAAAAGCGAGGTATCTCCAGAATACACAAATTTCTAATTGCCCGACCTTGCAGTTTAGACCTGCAGAACTCGTCTTGCACCAGGTACGTGCGTAAACCCTATCCAGACGTCGGAACACCATGGAAACAGAATAGTTTTACCTCAATACTAATGCCAAAATTTCCTAGTAATCAACGGGTTTCCGTTATCCCCGTTAATGTTCGTATGTTTCAATCCGGGGCACCGCGTTGTCCTCATCTCCCCGATAACGTTTGGGCATCTCGCCATCTCTCACAATCTCTCTTGATGAGCATCATTGATTCGTTTGTCTCTATATATATCTGATACATCCGATGTTGTGGTTTGCCCAAGTGGTTCGACAAGGCAGATTCGCCTATAATAATAATCTTGGCACTGGTCCTGTTGGCCAATTAAGATGCATGGTCGGAGGTGGCTCACCAAGCAACAACTGAGGGAATTTAGTACATGTGGCGACGGGATTTTTTTTTGTTAACGATTAATTTCCAGTATTAATCGCCCCTTCAATATTAATCGCTCCCTTAGAGCCGGGGAGGAAAATCTTCGCCACTCTGGACTATAAGTTTGCAAGATTCTTCCGTCGCTTCTTCACCAAGTTTCCCGACACCAATCTGGCAGCAGTCACTCAGCAGCCACTCCATGAACAAGGCGTCAAAAAATATTGTGCACGTGTACTGGAGCCAGCTGTCACGAATTGCGATCATCGAAGAGCCTCTTATCTTGGCTCCGTGAAAGGAAGGTTTAATCTATCTATTACAAATTCATTCGGAACTCTATAGTTTTTTTGTCTATCTGGGTCAATGGTGAATCTAGCTATGGCAAATTAAAGAGAGTGAAGAATGATGATCGGCTTAGGCAAAGAGGTAAGTACTGTTTTTCATAGGCCGGTTAGTATATATTCGCTATTGAGCCAGGGTGGCCGCTAGAGTGTTTTAGTGAATCCCAGTAATCCATTATTCGGCCATATTTCTACGTAAAATGGTGTGGCGCACATAGCTACATAGCTATACAGCAGAAATATGGCCGAAATATGGCCGAAATATGGGGATTAAAACACTCTAACAATTGAACCGGAAAGGATTATACCTTCTTGATCAACCATTTAATGAGGTCCCCGCTAATAATATGATAATGATCAGGTTTATGATTATATTGAAATCTATTTGACAAAATACCGAATATATATGAAATCGCTGCCGCTAAACGCCAAACTTTTGGGCCTCCGTATCCAGATACTAGCCTGTCCAATCCAAAATCCCACAAAGTTCCAGACAAAAGAGAAAGAGAGAGAGAAAGTCTCGTGAACCGGCTGGAAGAGATAATGATAATATAAAAAAACAGGAATTAAAGTAAACTAAAAAAGAAAGAGGGAGAAAGAAGGCTCGAGCCATGTCTGGGGGGGGGGGGGGGGAGTTTTATCGACTCCTAACCCAATTCAAAATTTCTTAGGGAAAGAGATTGTCGACCATGGCCATGGCCGAGTAGCAGCGTGGTTGGGAGATATTCAACTGACCACTCCCAAGAGCCACGATACATGAGGCTCCATCCTCCAGATGAAACCTCTCAAGAGAATACTGTTGCTGGCTACTGCGAATCGATGAATACCAAGCCAAGAGAGATCTAGGTACAGCGTCTTCGGAAGTGGGTAGGGATCGTGAGTTATCAAATTGATTCAAAGTCGACTGGCTTTGATTGCGATAATTCTTTTCCACTCGATAATTTGGGGAGCATTTCGGGCACTTGTGCGAGTTGGGTTCGCAGCAACCCTTGGTCTTAGATGGTCGAGCGGAAGACCTTTTCTTGGTAGTACTCTGCGGTTGATCCTCTCTCGTGGTATCGCGACAGGGTGAAGCGCTTGCGCCTGTAGACAAGATGTTGGATGATTGTCTCATGGGAGCCTTGTTATGAATCAAGTCAGTAATAGTTACATTCATTGATGGCACGGGGAAAGACGCACTGTATCCACACCCATACTGTTTGTGTCCGGTCTCGGGGAGGGGCGAGAGTAACTGCTGGTACAGGTCAGTAAGCAGGAAACGTGGTGATTGTGGCAATGTTATCAGAAGAAAAGCAAACTGGGCTGGAGATTCGAAAGTACCTTCTAATCTCAAGGATAACATGTCTGGTTGAAGATGGTGTGGCTGAGTGCGGGTGTACAGTCATGTTGGAGGAGGAGAGAGGGACGCTTGTGAGATGGAAACGGAGAATGTGCCGGTGAGTTGCCGGAGGGTATAAAAGTTTTGTTGTGGGAAGCTTAACCAGATATGAGCACTGACGATTGCGAATTTGTTTTAGATGATAGTCGTAGCCTGGAATGAAGAGATTCAAGTATGGCTAGCGTAAGAGGAGACTATACTGTGCGGTTAGGGTGGGGGACGAGAACTCAAAGGGGCCGGATATGTGGTCCTTTATCTATCAGAGTGGGTTCCCAACCTTTTGACCATTGGTGGTACGTACCTAGACATATGAGAATACAGTGAACGGGCACCACACCCCCTCAGCAATCGGGTAGCCTAGACAATGACGAACGTCGTTTTGAGCTGCACTCGTTCGCCTCGTGCTCATGCTCAGAAAGGCACGATCACAGTGGATTGGCCTAATAACCCATGCATGTCCGCAGCAATTCCATCACAAGATATCTCAATGCTCTCTTATTGGATCCATGGACTTGACTTGGTGCAGACAGTGGACACTCCAGGTCTCGACATGCACGTGGTGGCAATGCTGGTGGGAAGAAATTCTACCTGCAGTATGTAAATATGTATAATGTCTTTGGCCGGCGCTGTCAGCAGGCGGACTCCTCTGTGTGTAAATGTGAATGTTGTACCAAGTACTCCCTATTCTCTAAGGAGAAACACCCGATCGACCCTGTTAGAGATTATGGAAGACCAGTAACTAAATCCAGTTTCAGATAATGAGCAGAATAGCAGTTAAGCTCAAGAATGCGCCGTACATGGCAAAAGCGCGGGGGAGGGGGGAGTGAGGACGGTGTATGCTCAACTGGTGAGTGGGTGGGTGAGCCGATGGACCCCGCAATACAGTAGCCCCTACATGACCTATTCGATCGGTACTTTATCATGGTCAGTCCTCATCTAAGCTGTCGAGCCAGGTAGAAGATAGGTGAAGACTGACACGAAACGTACGTATGCAATAGCGGGTGTAAATGCAAGGCAGAAAGAATATTCCGAACGGATTGTAATATTGGCCGACATATTTGCTACCCCCTTACAATATATATGTGTGCTATTCAAGCTGTAGGTTGCGGGTCTGGATGGCTGGCATATTGCGGATCATGAGCTATTTGGTAGAGTTGGGAGAGTGGACAGCTAGCTGACTGGGGGGGTAATCGGTGGATGCAGTCGGAGGATTTTGCGATGCCCAAGGCTTTTCAGGAAGTAGAGGCGATTAAGATAAACAAATGCAGCAGATGATATTGATACCCAGCAGGGCAGAATTGGAAGAGCAACAGGTATTTCGGAATAGCCAAGACGTGGTTGAGGAATACATGTATGTAGGCAGAAATACTACTCTTCACTCCATTTATACATTAATTACAACAGAGCTAGAGCGGGGTAACATTGTTGATACTCTATCTATTTGGCTACACATATGCCATGATACAGGCGCGGATAAATCGAACATGTGAGGTATCACTCCGAGTCGCCAAAGACAACACAGTAAAACAGAAACAGAAAAACAAAGTATAGAAAATGATGTATCTCAAATTATACAGAATTCTGCGGTAAACATCTGTAACAATGTATCAATTGTTTTCACCGAGAGACTGACGAAATCATTCTTCGAGAAAGATAAGTATTTGTATCAATGGAAGAACAATAATTTGTGCTGAGTTTCATTATTTAGAAGCATACAATACTGTATATAACTGTTCGATTCCACCGCGTACCGGCTAAATAGACCACAGCTACCTCAAGGCAACCATAGACAGCAATGCAAGCTTAAGATTGGTGTCCACCTCATGCTCCATCTACACGAATTCCATAAGTGTTTATCTCCCCCTACTGCCTGGTGTATTCCAGAATTTCAAGTTGAGCCGTCGCTCCCGAGATCTTGTCTAGACTCTGTTCATGATCAACACCCCGTTTAGTACCTACATGTACGTACATACATCTATCCACCCCCTGCAGACATGTACCTACAAGTGACTTTCCTCTATTTCCCGACCTTCACTGCGTTACATATGTGACGCTCATGATCGAACAGGATGCATACTGTATCTACACGTCAAGGCAGAAAACGGCGGACAGACAGCCACAACTCGAATTTTCCTACTAGCACTCCCTGCGACCCACTTCTCACGGTGTGTACGATGTTTCGCGTGGTACGCTTATCTACTGCGCACGCAACAACAACATGTACTTCTACGAACAGCTGGCTATGGTTCGCGCGCCGCTACGACTACTATGCTCACAGGTTTCTGCGCACACAAATTGTTCCGACTTTAACTTCGTGGATGACTGCAGAAGTTGAGACACGTTTCAGACGCTAGTTTCACCTTGGATATGCCTTCTCATTGAGAACTTTGTTTCTATTAACTCAGCACCATCGTCACTGTCAGCTAGAAGAAAAAGAAGAAAAAAGTGAAAAAAGTGAAAAAGTAAATCCTTTTTTTCCCTTCCTTTTTTATTTCACTGCGGGGTGCAGCCCTAATTGACATTTCAATCCAGAAGCACAGTACTCGCGACCAGCAACAAGAACCCGAATATGCAGCTGCAAGTCTTTGGTGTATTTTTGACTTCTACTCCAATGGAAATTGCAGATTAGGACGTGCATTTTCGGGTTCTTGTTGCTAGTCGCGAGTACACTGGTATGGAGTACCTACCTAGCTACCCCACCCGATCTGAGGGCCACCAGCCCACAGATCTAGAACCACTGTGAATCCGTTCTCGTTCAAAGTGTGAAATTTGACTCGGTCTCTGCCTTGCCTATCAGGGGTCTATACCCTCCAGCATACAGATAGGACTTCTAGAATTAACTACACTTAAACTCGCAAACTGTGAATTTGATCAAAAGCTAGCCATTAAAGGCAGTATCTAAGGCTAATCTCAATTTCTAACCAACCGCTGGAGCAAAAATCCTGATCATGTAGTACAGAGAACATAATCTGCAAGTTCGTGATTTTCTGCAGAACATTCTAAGTTGGACATATTGCGGAAACTTCCATAATACAGAGCCACCTCAATTTATGCATTCAGATTTCGAGAACCACCGACAACAGGCGCAATCCAAGTGTCTTGAGGTGCCAGCAATGCATCATCATGTAGGTGTATATCTGTTTCTTCTACCCCTAGGCACGTTTTACGGGTGATACAGTACAGCTGTATGGTGCTTCTAGACTGAGAAGTTAACTTCTCAGCTTGTACAATGGTAAAATAGATCTGTATGTGAATACCTACATATTTCAGACGGTAAGTATAACAGTTTTAATGTTCAATTGTACTCTTTCCACTGCCTGGTAATACCAGATAACTATGTCGATGTTGCTCTGAAGTCCCACGATACTAGCTAGTATGTACCTGCATAAGTTAGAGAGATTCGAACGTTAACATGGCATATCATGCATCACCGCTACATGAGTTTTAGAGTCTTCCGTCGATATGCATGCATGCATCTACCGACATACTCGCGTCAGGGAAAAAGAACCAGAACATGCAAGTGAGAAAGCAGGGATTATTTGTCTGGAGTGGCGCTGAGCTGCCATACAAACTAGGCATTTGCATGTTCTGGTTCTTTATTCTAGACGCGAGTAGAGTACAACGACAGCTCCACTCAGAAGGGTAGTTGACACGTCATACCTCAAAAATTTACACGGCATGTAGGTACGAAAACAAGATTTTCGGACATTTAATCTCCGTTTGTCTTGAAAATTTTCTCCCTGCAGCTCGATTGTAATTAAATGCAATGTTCTAGATGCGCATGCCATGCAAGGGCATAATTTTATAAAGGCTTTGTGTAATTGAGGAATGAACAATGTGTTTCATCGCTACCCTGAATTGTAATATTTGATAAGTTTAGTCAGAGATTCGTCCATACCCATCGGTCTTGAGGCTGTGCTGGTTATCATGATCGTGTTTAATTATTGGGTCGGGACGCATGGTATCAGCTGGCGAGAAAATATGTGCGCGGGCCGGGGGTTTTCAGCTTTGGGACTGTTGATTCGGCGAAGATACAGTATTGTCTTAAGTGATAATAAGGTCTCTTTTTTTGTCTGGTGTGAAGCGGTGCACTGGCATGACGGATATCGAATGAAGCATCAACGGGCCTTAGTCTGGCCCGAGGACTCGTGTGGCCCGAGCAGAGCTTTCACTCCGAGTGTCATTAACCCGGAATACAAGAGCATGACATCTTTGCCGAGTACGCTAGTCCAATCAAAGGCCGGGCCAGGAACAGGTTGGCAGCTCGCTGAAGTGCATGATCCAGTGTATGTCGAGTTAACCAAGGTACTTACTGGAGCTAGTGATTTGCATGCATGGCCCACGACTGTGGATTCAAAAAAAAATATGTAACATGATTGGCACGTGTATCAGACCCATTCAGCTTCGCTATTTTTTATATGCAGGGTCTTAGGTACTCTACTTTGTACCTACTGACATAGGTTAGTATGTAGGTACTTGTATGTATGTAGGTGCGAGAGCGTCAAGGAGGGGGCGTTTCTGCGATTTGATCTTTTCAGCTATCAGAATCATGGTTCGCTCTAGATCAAGTGCGCCTTGTATATTACCGTGTACGTGTCAAGGATGTTTGAATGACTGGCTACATGTATCTGCCATACATGGCTAAACGCTGAGAGGCAAGTCCGGAATCATACATGTTATATGTTGAAATTGAGAGAGTCGGTACCCTTCTTCCTCCTTGATGATTAATTTGAGTCGATTTGGTTTTGTGTAAGCCTGTGCGAGAAAAGACTTATCAGCGGTTTTCTGTACACGTGTGGAATGCACCGTACGGAATAGTCTAGAGACATTTTTTGCGTTCCGTATAAAATAATGTGAGAGAAGCGATATTAATTTCCACATTTTTGACTGGCAACATATACAAGTCATTAGTTCTCCGCGTGTTGATATTTTCCCAAGATACTCGTATATACGTATGAAAGGATAAAAGCGGTGTGTTTTCGAAGACTTTTTAGCGGCACGCATATTTGCATGGTGCTTCCATACCGTTATTGATGGTGACTTTTTTTTTTTTTTTTTTTTTATATCATGTAGTTTTAATTGATTCTAGGTACAAAACTCTGCATGCAGTCTTAGACTATGGCATAAAAATACCTCTCCCCGACTTAGAAACTGAAATTCACGACCCCAGATGAACAAAGGAAAACAATGAGAAAAGCAGGACGCAAAACAAACTAACAAACTGACTTAGTGACTGCAAGGAAAAACTGACGCTTTGGCGGCCCATATCCGACATAAGAAATCTTCCTGCTGGTTTCAAATAACCTGTTGCCCCTTGAGGGTCTTTTGTGGGTGTGGAGTGCCCTGATTTGGGTTGGCTTTTGCAGTGGCTAGGTGGTGGAGGGGGGAGAGCTGAGGGCACTTGATGTCTCAGATCCGGAAAGGAGGGGGGAGATGTGTTCCTTTCTGGGGAAGTTCGTTTTGGTGGCGGTGATGAAGGCTCCTAGAGCTAGCGTGTTGGTGTGGTCACTCCAGATCTCCTCGAGGGTTTTGATTCCTGGGAGGAGTTGGGCGCGTTGGGTTGCTTTCGCTCGGCAGAGGAGGATGGCGTGTTCGGTGGTTTCAGGGGCTTCGCCGCATCTGTCGCACTTTTCGGAGAGGTGGAGGTTGAGCCAAGATTTGTGGCCTCTGAGGTAGCTTTTTTGGGCTCTCATTTGGTGGATTCGAGTAGCCGTGAATTTATGTAAGTCCATGAAGGGTTCAGGGCTTGTGGTGAGGGGGAAGGAGTAGTAGGGGGGTGTTGGGAAGTCGTGTGCCCAATTGTCTAGCATTTGTTGTTTTGCTAGCTTTGGGAGGAGTTTGTGATCTGTTCCTCTTGTGACTGGATGTTGGAGGAGGTGGCAAAGATGTTCGATGGGGAGGTGGGCCACTCCCTTTGTTGCCGTGGAGTTCCACTTCTTAGGTGGGTTGGGGCGGCCGCGGAGGAGGGTTGTGTGGGAGGGGACCCTGTCGGGGGTCAGTGTGGGGAAGGAGGGGTGGCAGCGCCCTGTCACTGGATTGTTGAGGGGGTGGGCGAG